AACGCTCGAGGGGGGGGGGGGTGACTAAAAGTCCGGAAATAGTACTGATTTTTTAAGGGCGATCCGGAAGCGCTGAAAAAGTGCGAAAATTCCTCAAGAAGGTCCGGAATTTTTCATTTTTGTCATTTTTGTCACAATCTGAGCTAGAAATTAAAATTTTGAAATCTTTCGAATTTCGTCAAATATTTGGAGGTACTGAAAAAGTACTGAATTTTTCTGTCGAGGAGGTACTGAATTTCTTGGGAGTGTACCGAAGAAGTACTGTAAAAGTACTGATTTTTTGCCAGCCTGTTTTAGTAGACACCCTGGAGGGGGGTTGAGGATAGTGTTAGCGCCATTTTACTTTTACGTGTTAGAGGATAGGAGCCCATATCATGAAACGTCGTTTTTCGGACCAAGGAACGTAACGTCATTCGAAGATTCCAACATTGACCCAAGCAATTCAATTTTTTACAAGAATGTACCCGTGCAATTTTTGTCCAAAATTTTTCCGGTTTTTGTTTGAGATCAGAGGAGAAATCAGTGGAATTTTCAGTTAGGCGTGGACAAGATTCTCCCGGTAAAAATGTAATTTGCAGCATTGAAATTTAGTTACATTCTTTCACGGGAGGAACGACGAAAAGTGTTACGAGGGGAAGGGGGGGGGGTCAAAAATGCCGGAAAAGTCAAATTTCGCAAGCCTCATCCTCAAATTCAATCGGTCAGTCCCATTTTCAGACAAAAATTTTCTATAAAAAACTTGCTTCGCCCATGACCATGCAACGTTTTTCTATTTACCCTGACATTTTACATGTTTTTATTGACAAATCGCCGAGAAAATTCGTTCGTAGACTTAACCAAACTTTTTCTAACTACCAAGAAAATATGGCATAACTTTCAAACCACTTCATCCAAAGAATGCCCTTTTACATTATTGAACTACGGAGAAAATTGGCAACGTAGCAGGGTGCTTGTGACATTTCGCCGCTTGAACATACGTACTATCTTGCTTTCCGACTTGAAGTTAGAATATTGTCCGTTCTAAATCCTTTCAAAATCTTCCGGACGAAAGTCCTCTTTCGCAATTCTGGACATGGGGCTCTGAATTGATAAAGCTCGAGCTTTTCATCATTCAACGTCTCTGCAGTAGGGGTTGAGCGGGGTGATCCGCGACCACGGCGAACAGGTGTGTGAATAACTACCCTCAGCGCGTTCAACGCTCACAAAACTTCCCCTATCTTCCGGACCAACCGTCCGGTCACCAGGGTTTAATTAAGGGTGGAAACGACCGCGCGCCCTGGCGGGAGAAAAAAAATCCCCCCCCCCAACATGCCCCCGCCCCGTGGAAACTCAACTTTGAAGTTGGCGTTGGCTGTTTATGCGAGCACATTACGTTTTTACGCGCAACAGTGCAAGGCTATCGGAGCGTGATAAAACGGTAATGTTTCTGATTTTCAGCGCGGCGCGATGGTGGCCGGGTGGGGGGGTGGGGGGTGCGCCCCGTTTTTGCAATCGGATCCCGGAGCACGTGCGGGGCGCATTAATGGGGAAGGGAAATTAAAGCGGCTCGTGCAATGTGCATACTCCAGCCGGGATTCTGAATGTGTTTAAAAAGGCTGAAATGACACGGCAGGTTCCGGATCCGTGGCGTATGTATACATTGTTAAAAACGGTTTATCTTACGGATCGAATACAACAGAGAAAAAAACCATCCCGCGTCAGTCGTCGCAAAATTTCTCGCTTTATTCTGTTTTCCTTTTAAAGTGTTTTCTATTAGCTTGCATGTGTTTGAACAATGTATACCCGGGGAAGTTTTTAGATTGTACTCATTCTTGAAAATTTTAACGTTATGTTGGTAAATTTTCCGATCTAACTGAACTCAAGCCTGATTCATTCCCGATAACCTGACAGTTTTTTGGAAAGTCGTAGTTTAAATACCTTAAAAAGTATGAAAATGTCAAAATTCAAAGAATGTTCTTGTTAGACGAATTCCTTGTCAACCAAATTAGAAGGAATTGCAGAACATGGTCAATTTATAAAAATGGATTTTAGCCTTTTTTAACTGAAAAAGTTGGGGAGAGGAACCATTATTTTCTCTACTTTATGATGAGTGAGTACCTATACGAGTCCGGAATTTCCGGAAAGTCCGGAAGTAGTATTGATTTTTTAAGAGCGGTCCGGAAGTACTGAAAAAGTGTGGAAATTCTGTAAGATGGCCCGAATTTTTTTCATTTTTTGTCATGTTTGTCGCATTTTGAGCGAGAAATTCAAATTTTTGAAGTTTATCAAATTTCGTCAATTGGTGGCGCTGAAAAAGTGCCGAATTTTTCTATTGAGGAGGTACTAAATTTCTTGGGAATGTACTGAAAAAGAACTGTAAAAGTACTGCTTTTTGGTCAGCCTGTTGTAGTAGACACCCTCTGGTATTGTAGCAAGTGGGTCATTCCACCATTTTCCTGATCCTCTTTGAAATTTGTCTAACTATTGAAAAACTCCAACTTATTTAGAAACATCTCTATCGGAAATTCTTCTAACCGGAGAAACTTTTGCAAGATTGGCTCCGTCGTGAAGTTTTTGCACGTACTCCCATCGTATTAATACTTATAATTACCGCATCCTACGGGAATCTTCGCTGTTGTTGAGAACTGGAACTGGAACTGTAGTCAGTGATTTCTAATTTCATTCACATTTCAGCTCATAGTTTCGGGAATCGAGGCCAAATAAAGAGACCGGAAACTCCACTCTTCGCTGGGAGACAAGACGTCTGTTTTCTTCCTTCTGCAGAATCGGACTAGCCATCTTCTACAAGAAAATTAGCTTCTTTTCTGCCGTGTTTAGGAATAGCACCCAATGAGCTCTCGGGTGTTGCCAAATTTCCTAAAATGGAGCATGCGTTTGCTAGGAAATTCTTTAGGGTGTCCACAAGTCCGGAAAGTCCGGATTTTTTAAGGGTGGTCCGGAAGTACTGAAAAAGTGTGGAAATTCCGCAAGAAGGACCGGAATTTTTTCCAATTTTTTGTCATTTTCGTCGCAATTTGAGCGAGAAATTCAAATTTTTGAAATTTTTTCGACCTTCTTCAAATGGAAGTACTGAAAAAGTACTGAATTTATGTGTTAAGAAGGTATTACATTTCTTGGGAATGCACTGAAAAATTACTGTAAAAGTACTGATTTTTGCTATGTTGTTGCATATTGTTTGTTGTTGTTTTTTTACTGATTTTTGGCCAGCCTGTTTTAGTAGAATGTGGGTGTAGAATTTAGTAGTGTGTGTTTAGTAGAAATGTGGGAATGCACTGAAAAATTACTGTAAAAGTACTGATTTTTGCTATGTTGTTGCATATTGTTTGTTGTTGTTTTTTTACTGATTTTTGGCCAGCCTGTTTTAGTAGACACCCTATTCTTGATCCAGGGTTGCCACAGTCAGGGAAAACTTAGAAATGTCAGGGAAAATTACGAAATCGTCGAATCACCTTCATTTGCTTTCTCGAGTGGGTTTGACGCTTCGAACAACAAATGCCTGAAAACTATTTCTAACTATGTATTTTTAACAGTCCATCGTAAGCTCAATTGTCAGGGAATTTCACCAAAATGTGTCAGGAAATGTCGGGGAATTTAATTTTCCAAATTCTGTCGCAACCCTGATGACCATTTTTCCTTGAAATTTTCGAATACCTACACTGGGAAAAAAACACATTGGATCTTGAGTCCAGACTCATAAAAACATCGACAAGAAAAAATACACTTGATTCAATCAGAATCTAGCTTAAATCAAGAACCAAGCCTCTTAATTTAAGCGGATTTCGTTTTGATTCAAGCAAAAACCCGATTGAATTAAGAGTATTTTTTCTTGTCAATGTTTACTAGAGTCTGGACTCAAGATCCAATGTGTTTTTTTTTTCCAGTGTAATTTCGATACAATGCGGACGAAATTACCTGAAAAATTGCAGAGATAATGTTCCGAAGCCTTCTCGAAAATGCGCGTTTCATGGCCGAAGATTTGGAAACGGTGTCGACTGCGGTAGTAAATGCATTCTCACGGATGCGCCCGTCGCGGAATGCGAAGCCGTGATACAGAATGTGTTTACGCGGAACAGCAAACAGCGGGGACGCCCGGGCGTGGAATCAAACTGGAAGTCGCGATGGTCTTCCGAAAAAATTATTTCCCTTTCATCATCTCCTCGCGCATTTCCCTCTCATTCCTCGTTTTTTCCCGCTTTTTTTTCTCGCTCATTATGTCAAAATTTGGTGAAAAACGTGCCGCGGAAAGGAAAAGAAAAACTTCGGATTCGCGTATACCACTGGAAAAAACACATTGGACCTAGAGTCCAGACTCTTAAAAACATCGACAGGGAAAAATACTCTTGATTCAATCAGATTTAAGCTTAAATCAAGGACCAAGCCTCTTAATTTAAGCGGATTTCGTTTTGAGTCAAGCAAAAATTCGATTGAATCAAGAGTGTTTTTTCTTGTCAATGTTTTCAAGAGTCTGGACTGTAGATCCAATGTGTTTTTTTCCCAGTGTATACTCTGTCAAATTTTAGAATGAAAGGCCCAGCACTCTCTTTTGAAGAGGGAAACTAACTAGGTTCCGGAACTGTCTCCTCAAGTTTCTTATCTCGAAAGTCTTTTACTCTGTTAATGAGCTTTTGGAGGGTTTAAATGTCTCACTGGAAAAAAAACACATTGGATCTAGAGTCTAGACTCTTGAAAACATTGACAAGAAAACGGACTCTTGATTCAATCAGATTTAAGATTAAATCAAAAGGAAATCCGCTCAAATTAAGAGGCTTGGTTCTTGATTTAAGCTTAAATCTGATTGAATCAAGAGTATTTTTTCTTGTCGATGTTTTTAAGAGTCTGGACTCAAGATCCAATGGGTTTTTTTTTCCCAGTGTATGTATTTAGATTTGCAATAATTACCGATTTGACCTGAGACGAAGTTTTTCTTTTGTATGTACCTACTTATTTTGTCCTATGATTTTATACTATAGAGTAAAATGTGTGTTTTGTTTTTGTCTTAGACGAAGCTGGCGAAGAGGACAGCGATGAGGACATGATCACGGACTATTTGATGATGGCCGATCCGCGAGTGGAGGCCGCGAACAAAGAAGCGAGCTCCAGGTCCGGTCCCAGCCCCCTGGTCCCCATCATCAGCGTCACCCCCCACTCTCCCGCCGGAAAACATTACCCCATACTAGGTAAGTCCCCTAATTACTCTTCATCCGACTCTTCCTCCAACTCTATCACCGCTTCTCTACCCTTCGGACTGACCATTGACACTGATAGACAAAACTGTAGACTAAGAAGACAACGCCAAAATAGAGGGACCCCATCGGTGGAAGCGGGTGATTGCGATGGACAAAGGAGGTAAGTAATGAAGGAAGTAGCGGCAACCCACGAAAGACCCTCCCCGNAAAAAAAAAAAAAAACAAAGCAAAACAAAACAAAAAACAAACAAACAAACAAACACGAAAGACCCCACAGCAAGTCGGATTGCATTTTGCAAAAAGGAACCTAGAGCATTCCAATGTCGCTAAGATGGTGCAACTTGGTTTACCTTGCAAATATAAACTGATCATTTAAACAATATTCATCTTTACTGTCAATAAACTATACATTCATGGCGAAAATTATCTTAGTAAATTCAATTTTTGGCGTGATTTCAGTCATTTTATTTCCAAGAATGTCAATTGCACAATCCTAGCAACGTTGGAATGCTCTTGGTTCCTTTTTGCAAAATGCAATCCAGTTCATCAGGGCCGGATTTACTTACTTGCCGCCCATGGGCCGCCTGTATTTTGCCGCCCCCTTCTCGTTCGTTTTGAAACATCATTAAAAACCATCAAGTAACCGTGTCGGAGGGGGAGGGGCACATAAGACGCGTTTACTCGTGTTACACACATTTTTTGCGAAAGACCTGTCAACACTACTAGTACTAGCAAGTGTTCACGGAACTTACCGCGAAAGTTAAGTTCCGTAAACCTATCTCTGTGTGAACAAGGCCTTCCATATCTAAGAAATGAACATAAAAGTTGTGCAATAACAAACATAAATGTGATTTAATAATTTTAACTTCCGCCACCGCAAACGCACTGTGTTTGACGCAATGCGTGAAGTATTCATGAAGTCCAGTAGGCGCTGCGCGTTTCACGCTGACCGCACTGTTTTTGGCGTAATGCGTGAAGTATTCATGCAGTCTTGTAGGCGCTATGCGTTTCATGTCGACCGCTGCTAACCGCACTGTGTTCGACGCAATGCGTGAAGTATTCATGCAGTCTTGTAGGTGCTATTATGTGTTACATGCCGACCACCGCGCCGAGAGCTTCTCCTTTTCATCTCAAGTCCTCGTCATCATTTCTCTCTGTGCCGCGCCACTCCATGCCTAATTGCGTGTTAGGTTTCTCTCTTAACTCGACTAATTAAAGGTGCAGTCTCTTTGTGTCACCGAAAGACGACAAAATTAGGAATTACTATACCCTTAGGAAATGAGAGATTTTGTCGCCTTTTCTCGTTTGTAATTTTTTCTCTGAATCTGATTTTTTTTAATACCCACCTACATTTAAAAAAATTTCAAAATTTGCCGCCATGGGCCGCGGCCCATGTGGCCACCCCCTTAATCCGGCCCTGCGGTTCATCATTCAGGATTCCCACTGTCAGGGAATTTTAAAAAGTCTGGGAAAACCTGAGAATGTCGCAGAAAAATTGTTAAGTCACCTTTATTTTCTTTCTAAAATGAGTTTGATGTTTCGAACAACATATTTTGCCTGAAAACTATTGCAAATCATGTCTTTTTCAGCATCTGGCACATTCTCAATTGGACGACTTTCTAACAAACGGAACTTTATAGGGGAAGAAAGGAGAGGGGGCTTGGATTGGCGGGTATGACGGAACGCGATGCTCGTTCCGTCCTATACTCGCAATGCTTTTCCATGGCGCTTAGTTCCATTTGACAGAACGCGCTATCCGGGATTATAAAATCCTCAAAAGGAGCTAAATTTTGCGCTTAGTTCCGTTTAACAGAAATACGTCCAATTGTCAGGGAATTTTACCAAAATATAGATCAGGGAAATGTCAGGGAACTTCATATTCTAAATTCTGTGGCAACCCCCGATCATTTTCCCTCTTAGTTCATAACAACCACCCGTTTCAACCGCCCTCAGTAAATAATAATTCGACTGCCTCATTGTAAGTTATTTAAGAAATCAGGGACAGGCGAGTACGCCCACGGCTCGGCTGAATTTTATGGGATCGGAACGGGGCCGGGTAGGGGCGGGTTTCACCCCTGACGCCACGTGATGCGGGTTCCCGGCCTATTTTTAGTCGGCTGAATAAACGCCAACAGAGGAGAAAAGGCATCCGGAGCCTTCATCAAGAAAACGCGGGACCGCTCCTCGAGAAATTGCTTCGGGTTGATGAGAACGCCGGATATTTGAGTGTATTCGAGTCGGCGAGATTTCGTTTGAATAGGGTCTTCAGCGACCTGGAAAACTTTAGGCGCGGGGGTCGTCCCAGGATTCGGGAGACCAGGGAAAAAAGATTGTTCTTCTAAAACGGGACGATGGGAATTTGAAAAGTCAGAGAAAAGCCTGTGAAGGCAGAAAATTTTACTCATGGTGTCCAAGGCCTGGAGAAACTGAAAAATACCGGGATTCATCAAAGAACGAAAAATATCCGGGAATTCTGGAGAATTTGCAAGGAATTTGGTTCTGAAAATCGAAAATTTCTTCTCTATCCGCTTAAAAGAAATATTTAAATACCCCTTAATTTTTGCACCATTTAGCACATCCATGAAAAAAATAGGGCAGTAGAATCTGTGTTCCAAAATACCATAGACCTACGGCCGGCTGTAAAATTTCCAATTGCTTCTATAGCCGGCTACACAATTTCTTATAGCCTTTTATAGCCGATGGCGATTAAGCAACTCACAGCCAGGCGATAAAGTGTATGCTAAACGTCACTAATTACGGATGCTAGGACTTAGTGAGTTTTTGGACCACTGCTCTCTTTTTGGGCCGTAGTATCTTGATTTATTTTACGAGGGAAGCTCCGTACTTTTGATGGATGCCTGCCATTCCTAATATATTAGAGCGCCTTCAGTTTCGTATGATACTGTGCAATACCTCTGGTGTGAAATAGTTGCCTCAAGCGCCGTGGCACGCTGCGGTGCTGCGGTGCGGCAGGCGGGCAGCCAGCGCGGAACGCGCATTGGCGCCTACAAACCTAACAGGGATACTTCACGCGTTGCGCAATGCGTGAAGTATCCCTGTTAGGTTTGTAGACGCCAGTGCGTCGCCGCTCCGCTTTGTGTTAGGTTCTAATATTTAATCTGGCGGAGTCAGCGTTATTCAACTCATGATTTTGAAATGTTTGCACATCCTGTATGGGTTATTCTCGTTTTAATTGATAAAAAAAAAAAAAAAATGTATTAAAGGAAAATATAACGTGTGTTTTGTAAATATTAAGGTGGTTCCGTATCAAACTTAATGATTTCCAAAGCACACGAATTTCTACACAATTTCTTATAGCCTTTTATAATCGATGGCGAAAAAGCAACAGCCAGGCGATAAAGTGTAAAGCCCGGCGATAGGAACTATCGCTCGGTTGCATACTTTTTTATCGCTTCGTATAGCCCAGCTGTATGATTTTCTTCGCATTCTACAGCCAGCTATATGATTTTCTGTAGCCTTCTTTAGCCGGCTATAAGAACTCCTATGGTATTTTGAAACGCAGCTCTTATCGCCAATTTTTACCAGGGCTGTTATACTTCAATTTATGTCCCATGGATAAAATCTGTCTTTTTTGTCTATAGCTTTGTCTATCGACTTCATTAATCAATCTGCTGTTATACTTACGTCAATTTATATCCCATGGATAAAATCTGTCTTTTTTGTCTATAGCTTTGTTTATCGGCTTAATTAATGAAGCTGCTGTTATATTTACTTCAATGTATGTCCCATGGATAAAGTCTGTCTTTTTTGTCTAAAGCTTTGTCTATCGACTTTGTTAATCAATCTGCTGTCATACTTACTTCAATTTATGTCCCATGGATAAATTATTGCGAAAATAATGGTGGACCGGCAACTCGGTGGATGCTTGATTAAAAATAACAAGCTTTATCACGGGGGCATTGTTTCTTTTGGCGTCCCGTTTTCAGGGTGTTTCCAAGGAGGCGCGGGGGACGGAGGGTAGGAAACACGGGTGAAATTTGCGCCCAAGTTGGTCCGTCGTCCGCTCTGAATTTAATGTAATTAAATTAACGGAGGGCGGGGAGCGGCGCGCGGGTTAAATCGCTCCGCGCGCTGCACCGTTGCGTCGGTCTCATAGTGATTTTCCCGAGCAGAGAGACGCGAGCGAGGTTGAACAGCTTTTTCGAAAAGTGAGGGAAAAATTGAAAACACCGAGAAACAACTTGTGAACTTGTCACCGAGACTGGGTTGAATTAAAGATAACACTCCCATATAGCTTGCACAGGTCGCAGGCAATTAACTTTCATCGGCAATTTGCAAGCGGTTCAGGTGTTGTTAAGATAAAGCGCAATAATGCGCGTACTAGTGAGGGTTTAACGGGCACAGGCCATCAAAATCATGATCTCGGCTTCGAGCGCCTTCATTTTTTGTGATACTCCACGCTTTGTCACGGAGTTAGTACAGTTGCTTGTCCGATCTGAACCTAACTAAGGTCGCGGTTTCCACTATTCCACTACACGCCCTCCCGAGTGTGCTCGTGACTTTCATGTTTCTACGGAGGAAAAAGTGTCTGCTCTCGTCAAAGGCAAAATAATAGTACTCAAAGAGTTTTCTCTTATTTCTAAACGTTATGCTTTTCTATTCATTCATCAGTGGCTTGCTAATTGCCGGCGATTGCTAATTGTCTGCGACATATAGATTGGGCAGTGTCTCCAAATCTTCGCCAGGATGCAGAAAGTTCTTAGCCTTCTCATTTTTTGAACCGGCTCTCCCATTTTATTTTTAAAAACCTATTTTTCCTCAAAATGTTCGAAACTATTTCCTTACTTGTTTTTAATCCCCAAATCGCCGTGATTTTGCGAAAATTCGCAAATTTTACTAGGATCATACGAAAACCCGCGAAGTTTACCACAATTTCCGTTTTTCACAATTTAACGTTCGCGTGCATTTGCACGCGAACGTTATCGCAATTTTGCGAAAAATTCGCGATTTTAATGACTTTGCGAGCTAGCCTTCCTATTTGTTCGCGCCCGCGGCCATGTGATCAGGAAGTGTCTGCACCCCTGAATTTTCCCATTCTCTTTCATTTCTTATCTTCATTTTATTTCTTAAAAGACAATTATTCAACATCTGTGCAATAGTTTTAGAAAATACTCATGTAATGGCATGAAGAACAAAAGCAATCGTGTGAAATTTTCTAAAAAAATGATGATCAGTGTTTTTTAGAAAATTCAAGTGACCTGGAAATTTTGTCACAAACCGAGATTCATGGCTCACCATCAGGAGTCTCACACATCAATTGAGTTTAGCAGGAGAGAATTAAAATTGCATCTGAAAAAATGCAACTATTGGTTCTTTATAGTATTCATCTTTTTTTTAGGTTCAATCTGAAGGTAGTTTTATTGTCAATTAATGTGTCCCACCCACAGATTCATGTTTCATTTATACCTTGTCTTTCTGCCTGCATTTCCAGAAGGCTAGTTTTGCGTACAAGTAGATGCAGACTAAGTCCAATTATTTTCTTTTTCTTTTTACAGAAGACAATATACAGCAGCTCCATGACATCCATGAAAGTATCCAACGTATGCGTGATGTTAGCGCTCTCATGCTCAACCAACAGGTAAATCATTGTTCTATATTAATTGTAAATCTGCAGAGTCTTTGGCAATCAATTAGAATGTAGAGCATAGCCAAATTTGTTGAAATTCTGAAAAATACTGTCTGCTTTATTCGTACCAGTGGTGCTGATGTGATTAAATAATTTAAAATTTTAAATAAATGGATGACAGTGTCGTTTTTTTCCTCTCACAGAGCACTTGAAAATTGTTCAATTATTTTAAATAAATCTACCACATAATATACCAATAGACCTGAAAATGTGTGGTAAAATAGTACTTGAAAATACAGTGGTATCTCGATTATCCGAGCTGAATGGGAGATGAGAAAGTCAGCGGATACGGGAATCCTTGAATAATGAAGGTATCGCAGGAAGTAGCGGAATAAATGTAATTTTTTTCCCCAAGTGACTTTTCAATAATGAAAACACGGTACTTTTGCCACAGAAAAAGTAGCACTTATCACTTATCAAACTGTAATAACAAAGAAGTGTGGATCTCTAATGCACATGGAACCAATTTTTACCGTTTTGAAAAATGTAAAAGTTTAAATTTTAAAATTTTCTAAATTCACCCTTTTGTTTTTGTTTTTGTTTTTTTTTTGTTTTTTTTTTTTTTAAAGTCGTGTTTTCATGTAAGCAAAATTGTTTGGGAGCCAGCTAGCATGGATACAAGAAGCCTTAGATATGAGGATTTTGGGTAACCAAAATCCCACTGCTCCTGCTTTACCTGAATGTTGTATTTTTGAACCTGCCTAAATCATATACTCAAAACCTTTTTTAATATTTCTCGCCCATTTTTTCTCTTTAATCAGCAGCAAAATTCCAGATTATTTGCATCTTGTCCATCACTTAACGACGGGCAAGATTCCACTGATCCTGATCTCCTATCTAGACTTCAGTCTCCTCCAAATCAACCGTCACAACCAAAGCTTTCTCTCAATGCTCCAGCCTACTCAGACTCACTACGGCAAAAAAGTAAGTTACTCTTGGTCTTTCATTTAATCTGTTTCAGTGCTCAATGATTAAAATTGATTGATATGATAGAAAATTGACTCAAATTTAAGGAGTTTAAGGATAACCTGAGAGTAATTAGCCAGCCCTTAATCAATCAAGCTAAAGCTTCATTGTTCCTCCGCAGACCTCTATGCTGCCATGGGAGCTTAAGTTGATCATTTAAAGCAGATTTCAGTGTTTGGTGAAGGTAAAGATTCAGCGATATCTGAGGATTTGTAGGAAAATTAAGTTCACATAATTGATTTTGTATGAATCGTCATCATGCTGAAGCATTTTTTCGTCCTCTTTTTTTACCTTCCTTTTCATCTTCTTCTCCTGTTCAGTATCTTTTTTTTTTTTGCTAAGTTCACAAGTTTTAGGAGACTGCTAAGGAAAAATAATTTCCTGCTTCCTTCCTGTCCCAAACATACCCTGAGGTTTCTCTATGATTTGTCATGTTCACAGGGAACATTCAGGTCCATGTCTATAGGTCCACTATAGGGGACTATTCAGGTCCATTTTTCCTATTGTTTAGGTCATCAGCCCAGTCTTTTTAAGTAAAAAATGTATTAAATCTGCTTAAATAAGCATCAACACCGTTTTTCATGGCTCGAGACTTTTTGTCAGCTGATATCAGTTCCCAAAAGACAACAAGAAAAATTAAAAATTTTGCTAAAAAGGAAATGGTTAAAATCACACACATTTGATAATTCTTCAACCAAGTCTGAGAAAAATCTGACTAAGCGGTCTAAAGAACAATATTTATCACTGCATAGATAAATTTTCAACCAGTGTACAATGAATGGCTAGCCAGTAAACTGATGAAAGGTTTAACTCGAAAACACTGTATCTAAATTGCAAATTATTAAATTTCTGAACATTCCTTAATGTTCAAGAAAAACAAGTAAAACCTGTAAACGTATCGGTACACATTTTCTCTAATTTTTTTATATTTTTTTTACCATTCCATGGTTATTTGGTAATTATGTCAAGCCATAATAATGATTTGTATTCACCCCTAAGAACAAAGTATGTACGACAAGTTTAAACCCCTACAATTGAGACACAAGTGTCTCGAAGTTTAGCCATCAAAATATACAACTGTCCCAGAATAAGGACAACTTATGCTTCTAAAAAATATTTGCAGAAATAACTATTGAGATGGATTCGTAAAAATATGCCTTATCCTTTCCAAGGGAAATGGATGAGTAATTAGTGGACAACCTTTTTTATTTATGAATAAACCGAAAATGTTTCAGAAAACCCTTTTTTTGTTGTTGCACTTATTACAGTATACATACAGTAAAACAAGAAGTGAATTTAAAAATAAGGTATTCTTTTTTAATTACCCTGCATCATACCAAAATGGATTGTATAAAATGTGTTCTCAAATGTCTAACGATGCTACATGTACTTGTTGGATTCTACATGATGTAAAACACCTTTAAGAGAGTTCATGAATAGTTTATACAAGGCGGCTTAAACATGTGAAAAAGACCAGGATATACGCATAATCTGCTCCTGTACCCAAGAACTTATGTCACACTTGAGTGAGATGGTGTAATCACCGATCAAGGGAGTCATTTAAAGGAATAGTCTCTCAATACTGATAAACAATGAAAGAAATGAGCAAGAATCAAAAATTGATTGAAAGCTCCTTTTTGTGTAAGAGATAACTACAATGACTAGGAGAGATATAGAAACAGACGAAAAATAGTGCATATTGTATTCACTTCAGATCATATGCTGAAATAACTTTACTCATAGCAATCATCAAAAAGTAATCTGTAGTGAGTAGTGACCTTAATAAAAATAGCATAAAATTTATCCTCAAATATTCTTTAAAAATATAATGTTTGAGTTTTTTATATATTTATATTCTTAATGATGTGTTTCAGGAGGTTCGGGGGATTGGTTAATGTGTGAAGTTCAACGGAGAAGTAGCTGGGCTGCCTTAGACGACCTTACAAATTGTGATAAGGGCAGGAAAGTAGATAAACATAGAAGGTAAGAATTCAGTGTCTCTTCAATCTCAGTTTTGCATTAGGTCAATTATATGAGATGAATTCAAACCTCCTCTTGATGCCAGTCTCTGCCTTCATCATTGTATTACAGATCATAATTGAATTGGCTTAGAAATTTTAGGGATCCAGCAGATATTGTCCTTTCTTCTCTTTTTAATTTACTTTACTTCAACGATAAAAGGAGTCAAAAACAGATACAATGACATTCCTACAATTCACTACGATAATGATAGGCTTTTGGACACTTTTTAACCCTGCATCAGAAAAGTTTTTATAATTTTTTGCAGTTTTCTCAAAATTAGGAAAAATGGACGTGAACTATTTTTCTGGAAATTGATTTAATCGAAATTCATTTCAGTAAATCATATAGAAATAATGAAACTGTAAAGTATACCTATGACTGATTAAAAACAATACTTCTCTTCAGTTCTACCTGATCATTATTTCTGATTTCATCTTTTCGCAAATCTGGGCGATAAATCTTGCCAGCTATTTTACTTTTGATTCCAAAAGTTTTTTCATCAGCGTTTGTAAAAAGTATATTACGTCTCTTTCAGTAACCAAATTAATTTTGGCAGCTTTCAATTTTGATGAAAAGTTTTATCTTCCGTTAGAATTTTGTTTGTTCATCTTTCAAACTACTTTCAAGTATTCAACAAGAATAATTTTAACTTTACCCATTGTCTTTTCAGTGTAAGTTCTAGTAGTTTAGAATCAGAATTGGACGACCCCATAATGGATAGCACTGCAAATTTACTGAGTACAGATAGTGCCTCGCCAGTAAAAATAATTCAAAGGCGAAAATCCAGCACTGGAGCCTCTGTTAATGTCAGGCGCTCAGTTTGTCCAGGAGGCACCTCTTCAACCCATTCCCTAAATGAAGCAGACCTACAGGTGATTCAAACCTATTTTAATTTCAACTCCTGTCTTTCTTGAATCCTCATTTCCTTTTATTTCCTTTCCAATTGAAGCTCAAAAATGTTTAGTATAAACTTTTAGCACATATAATCTCATAGAAATCACTTAAAAATTAGAAACTATACTATGTATGAAAGAGGGAATAAAATAAAAATAAAAAAATATCCGTATTTATGTTACAAAACAACAGTTGTAATCCATTCTCTTCCAAATAATCACTGGGAGAAAAAACTATCATGTAGAAATTTCATTTTATAGTTGCTGTTCAAGCTGGAAAAGCTTCAATAACTTTAAAGAAGTTGATGCTGGTTCTTTAATCTCTCACTCTTAGTTGAGCACTAAAATTGAAGAAGGTGATTTTAGACCTAAAGCTTTTATTGCATCTTTTCATATAATTTGAGCTTGAATTGACCATGAAATTCTTTCTATTTCAGAGTGATTTTAACAAAATAATTGCCAAGCACAGAGCTGAATCTAGGTTGCAAGCAAGACTCCCTTTGCAGAAATCAGTATCCACCCCTTCTATTTTGGCAGTTCGTGACATTGCTCAAATCCGGAATGAAGTCGGAACCAACAATGCCAACATCAACAATTTAACCATGTAAGTTTTTCAATTCATCAAGTTTTAGCTCAATCATCACCTCTCTTAAGTCCTCAGCATCAGGTTGAAAAGGAGCAGTGTTCTGCAATAATTGGGTACTGCATACTTGTCAACCCGTAAGTGATGAACATCAAATTTCATTCCTCTGGTGGCTAAGCCTGGGTTAACGATTGATGAAATAGAGCCAAAAGATTGCTCCAACGGAGCTCTGAGTCTTGAAATAAAATTTGCCCCTCATATCATTGTCAGATAAAATAATTTCATCTAATGCAAAAATATTATCGGTTATCAACTGAAGACCAAGCCACTCATTGCCTACTTTGTGAGTCTAACGAATGAAGAAAGGTCACATAATGAAACTGATTGATGACACCACTGGAATGTGGCAAGTTAAGTTCTGTCAACCATCTCAAATTTTACAATTATTGTATTCGTGTTTTTCATCAAGTCCAACTGCTGTATGATATCACCAATTTTCATTTGTACATTCTACTAAATTTTTTCTAAAACCAAATCTAACTGCACCTTCTTGGCCTGATGCACCAAACTTTCAAGTAAGCAACTGGTCATTTTCATTTATTTTTGTGCGATTTATTAGAAAAAAATTTGAGCAGCTTTCTTCATCTTGTCTCCAATGAGATTAGTTTCATTTGTGTTTGTTTGTGGAGCAATGTCTGTCTAAGCACCCAATTTTAATTTGCGATTTTATTTAAGTTTTCTTTTATTTTGACTCTTTATTGCTTGAGGTAGATGAGATGCATTTTTTGATAAAATTTAATACTGAATCCCAGATTATCATAGCTTATGCAGTCTTTGATTGCCTTAATATTGTTGTAAATGAAGGGAATGTTCATAGAATGACTTAAATTTTGATTTTAAGGAATGGCTAAAATTTCTTAAATCCGAAAGTATATCAAAACGAAAGAAGAAGAAAAATAAGCACAACAAAAGAAAAAACTTCTCCGGCCAGTTGAGCATGTTTTCTCGACCAAAATAAACTTCTTTATCCCTGTCTCAAATGAAAGAACGTGTAAGTGAATATATAGAGGCAGATGGTCTTTTCGCCCTTCTCGTCACCTAACTTCAGATTGATCATAGCATAAAGTCACATTCGTTCTTTTTTTTAGTTAATTTTTTTAACAAACATAGTGTGATAATTTTCTCCTTCACTTCTTTTGAACTTTTTTCAAATTTTGTTTCCCATATTTTCATCAAAAGAGTGTCAGTATGTAATATACATACATTTTTATCTCTTTGAAAGGAGCTTTTAATGAAATTTAGAGATCAAGGAGCATTCGAATTTAATTATAAAAATCATGTTCCCGAAATATTTCTGATCTTTTCTCCAGTAAGATATTCTCGAGTTCTGTGAAGTATCAGAAGGCGTTATTTGACCAAAAAAAAACGCTTTAAAAATTCTTTCCTTTGCCATAACAGGTGGTTCACATTCATCTTTTTAACTTTCATTTCTGTTTTCTTGCACCCTTGCACCTGAGACAGCATTTTTATTATTTTGCTGGTTGTAGTAGCTGTAGTTTTTGTTGTTGTAATATTAGTATTGCATTGTGTGGTTGTGTATTGTAAATAGTGGAGTTCCAACTGAGAGTGAAACGGAGGAAGAAATGTTAGCAGCACTGATTGATCCAAGCAAGCATCGCACCTCCTTCCAGCTTTTATTTGCCGAGTGAGTAGAAATCCCCACACCATACATAAGCAGGAGTCCATTAATCTTCCAAGTATAGAATTTTTCTCACTCAAATCCAAAGGAAAAACCTTTAAAAAATTTCCTGAACGCTTGAGTTATTTTCTTCCTTCTTTCTGAATCTTCAATCACTATAGCACAGATTTTATGATGGAACTCAAGAAAGGTACCGGAAGTATGGTCTTGTATAATGTCCATCCCCACTCAATTGTTTCTTTTTCAAAGATAATAAATTAATTCAATTGATACACATTTTTCATGCGGAAAAAATATGTCAGAAAATTATGTTAATGGACAGTACTTAGTTCCACATGTATAGAATGATACGTATGAGCATACAGGCGCATGGTCCATCGTTTAATGTTCTTAACCACGTGTTACATATCCCTACTTTTTTTCTCCAAATTTATTAAATACACCCCAAGATTAATGGACTCAAACTGTATCATCAATTTTATCACCTTTAGTGACATTTGTATGTTTCTGTGTTTATTTTAAGACTTTAACAGAATCAGAAATGAAACGCAAAGCAACAATTTCGCCTATGTGATCAAATCATGAAATAATCGAGATGTTCAATGGTATTATAATCCACCAATATAATAAAATCGCTTATAATTTCAACAATTACAATCATGATTCAATCCCAATTAATTATCGTCATGACAAATTTGCTTTCCATTCCATTTCTAGTTCATCCTTTACTCTAAATCTGTTAGTGTTATTCATAGACAATCAAAATAAATGCAATTCAAGTCAGTTACACAACTCCTCCATCTTATGTGGCGATAAAATACAGGTTAAAATATTGTTTCAACCTGCTAAACCTAATGAGTAAATTACTGTGAAAAAATTGGGAAGAAATGCTGTCGACAAAATTGCAGAATGATGAATATCACAGTGGAATACCCATAATTTTTCAAGTATTTTCTGCGAGGAGCAACTTTCTTGGTATTGCTACAAATGGAAGTAATGGTAAACATGCAACAGCAGGCTTAATTATATGTGTTTTTTGTATGCACTCAATGCACTCCAGAAATTCAAATTTTCTCAGCATGGATTTTACATTTTTCTTTTCATGATGCACTTTATCTTCTCCACAATTTCTATGGTATGAATTTGTTTGATATATTTTGCGCAGGTTGAACCACAAAATTTTTCATAAGATTTCCTATTTTTGTGCCAAACAAATTTTTAGGCATAGTTTCTTTTTATTTTTAACTGTAAATCATATTTTTCAGCACCGCTTATGATGAACATTCAGAAAAACGTAGGAAAAGAGGAAGCTTGTTCTTCAGGAAGAAAAAGGTTTGTGTGGAAACTTAATTTTTTTAATGTTACCAAGTAAGAATGTTTTTGAATGTATTGTTTTTGAAATTCAAAGAAAGTGTACTTCTTTAGCATGACCATGTCATGTGGCAGACTAATTGATGATATTGACTTTTATTTAAACAATCCTTGTGCATGCATCTTCTGTCTGCCGGAGTGAATATTTAGATTCGTTTTGACAGCAAGGTTACTAACTCAATCCTTCCAACAAAATTTTCAAAACTGTTATTCATTACAACACCAGTAACCACTTGTTCAAATCAACGATCATCTCATTCAAATTATTTGCAGTTGAGTTGCTCCTTTGCAAAGATTGCATACTGTGTCATTAAAGGGATTTTAAAACAGTACAAAGAATAACTGTTAAGAAATGTTTTCCTCCAGATGTTTGAGCTCAAGAAGCATATTATAAGTACAATTTTAATAGACATATCTGATAGTAAGATAGTTTAACATTTCATTTTGTTGTATATTCCTCTTTTGTGTATTTTCCGTTACTAATGTCCCTTTTTGATGTTGAACAGGACAAATTAAAAAAATCACCTCATCAGTGGGTTTCAGTCTGTTATGGTAGTTCAAATCACATTCAAAACTGTGACTGGTGTTCAAAACCTATCACGAACAAATCAGCTATTTTTTGCGAAAGTAAGTGCTATGATATTATTTTTTCACCATTAATAAATACTCAATCAGCTTGTTGTAACATCCTTCTTGAAAGATCGTGGTGCAGTAATCTTGGCATCTAAAATTTATTTGAATTATTCAATGAACCACTAGACAGGGTAAGAAATAAAGGACCACAGCACATGTTTTCTCAGCAAAATTTGGAGGTATTGTTGCACATAACAAGGAATGTATCAAGAACTATCAAAATTAATTAAAAAATGAGAAGTAAAAGCTCTTTGTTCACATCATAAACAGTAGATTCAAACTGCCTGCAATTTAAAACGCCACATTGAGCGTAAACCTTTAAACTCATGTGTATGCTAGGTAAACAATTAGAGCTTGATTTCACACACATTTCTTTACTTTTTTGCTTCAAGGTATCTTTCATCTTGTCAAAAAACAGGTAGTGCACAGGAGAATTCTCCCATCTTTAATATACCAAAATAAGTTTAGTGCTTGATTTGACCCGAGTAGACTCTGGTTTTTCTGTGAGTGGGAAGTGTGAATTAACGTAGACAAAAAGAGTTATTTCCTAACTTATGAGTTGAATTCAGAAAGTTTTAATGCTTCCATCGTAAAATTTTGATAAGGAATTACAAACAAGTGGTAACTTGGCGACTGGTTCATTCAGCACATGAATGAATACATCTCCATGTGTCAAAAAAATTAGATTTTAATTGAGAATGAATTAAATAAATACATACTTAAATGACATTTGGTGGACTTGCGATTCATCAAATATTATCCATGTCTGGTCGAAATACAAAAATTTCCAATTGTTGGGCTTCAGAGCTCACATTTTATTTATTCGAGTTCCTGTAGGGTAATAGCAATTGAACTGCATAAATTTTCAAAATTTCAAAACAAAAAAAAAAAAAAAAATCGGATGGATCTTTATAAGTCAAGACATATTTTGTTTTTCCAAGAAGCTGTCTTCATTTGACTACGCACTTGTTCTTTTCATGAGACTGTAAATTCGTACCTAACTCCTCCATTTGATTTTCAGATTGTTTGGTTACTGTTCATCAAAGTTCCTGCAAAGACCATATTGTAGATTGCAATAAACAGAAATTATCTAAGGTAAATCATTATTTTTCTCAGCATGTTGCTGCTCTCTCATTTCGGAAAATGGGGAGGATAATCTTCTTTTTTTCAAATTTCAAGGTTCATGTACCTTTAGAAAAGATAATGAATCATATTAAAAATGGTGAATACGTACATTCAGGGAAACTGCTCTCAGCTTTTAAGGCAGCGGCCTCATTTCTCAGAAAAACTAGATGATCATAGAACCAAAGAAGGTTAAGGATCTCTAAGTATTCTGTAAAGCTTTCAACATCTTTTGACAGCAGATTTAATTCTTACATTCACCAAACTTGCTACCTAAAATGCTAAGTAATTTTTCTTAATTTCTTTGTGCCATGTCAGTTGGGTAATTTTATTTTTTTCCAGAGCATATCAAAGCCATCAGCAGTCAGTTTATCTTCATTTAGTAAAAGCTCAGGGAAGACAAGAAGTGGAAGTCCATCGCACGGACAATCAAGTTCACCTAGCAGGTAATCAAAATCTCTTCTTTGTAATATTGTATATATTAAATTCTTATTAATCTTTTAAAGTAATTGATCACCCTAGCATGCTTTTAACCAACGTTTGGTTAACCCGAGAAGCTTACCGAGCCTTCATTATTTCTCTTCAGGTGTATATGGAGGTTCCTTGAGTTTTATACCCAAATCCCCTTTTTTGCTTTTGAAACGAATTGCCTCTTTGAAGTGTCAGAGCTTACTTATGCTTAAGCAAAGTGAATATTATTTGCGGACCTAGAATTATATTTGAACGAGCGACAATGGTTTCATTGTTCTTTTATTATTTCTGTCTTTCCCCCTTTTTTTCTCTCGCTGATAAAATTTTCACTTCTCCCTGTTTCCTCAGAGGCAAAGCTTAAAACTGGAGCATCAGAATCATGAACCAAAAAAAATGAAATTATTTCAAAGTACCCCCAAATTGAATGTTTGAAAAGGACAGAACAGCAACCTGTTGTTATGTTTCTAGTTGGTTTGACCTTATTGACCAAAGATTAGTTTTTTAGTGTAAAAACTTTCTGTCTGTAAAGGATCATCAGATCAATGATGTAGTGTTATAGAAAATTGAAAGAAACCGAAACAGACTTGTAAATTATAATGATATTGTGTGCTTTTGTAGCTGTACAGTTTTATCTAGTTTTGAGAAAATGTAAATAGTTTTTTGGTGTTGAATAACTTGTAAAATGATTCAGTTGGATAAATATCATCAAATTTTTCATGGAAAACTTCAGTAGAACAGTCTCTCTCCCAGCGGAACAAATGGTTTACTCTACATAAAAAGTAGGCTGGTGCAAAGAAAAACAGCAAGAGAGGTAGGAAAAATCAGAAATATTGTGAAGACTTACAAAGGGACTGCATAGAATATCTGCGCTTCTAAAAATGAATGAAGACAGCGCTCACTTATTTTTAATTAATGACAACCCACTCAAGTAAGAATTCACTAGTAATTTTCTGTGATTAGAATGTTCAGTTTTACAATTCCAGGAGCTAATTTTTAAACTGGTCCAGAGGAAACATAAACTTCGCCTTGCTTGATATTGTATAACCTAATCGAAAGATGGAGAATATATTGAATAGAACACCAGTCATTATTTGGAATTAATGTACCTTCTCAAAGTTCTGAATTAGAAACAGTACAACCCAATAGTTGCTAATTGATCCCCACCCAGCAAAAATCTTACTCTACTATTTAAAATCATTCGAATAACGCGTAATGCATAACACCTGAGGTGCAAAGCGCCTCAAGGGGTTTGGACTGCAAAGCGGTCGGAGGAGTAGTCCCCTAGTTTAATTTTAATTGTTCTGCATCTGCCCTGAAGTATCAATGAACATTGCACAGTTGCACACACCCTGTTTTCACCGTCCAGATATGTATGAATTCATCTGAATTCTAGTGTGAATTGATAATTACTAATATTTAATTACTTGCTTAATTGAATTCAGTTTTTCAAAGAGCTTTCCTTTTTACACTTCCTTACCCTTACAATACTGTAAATATTTGAGCAAAGCCAGTCATTTTTGCTTTTCTCTCTCTTCACAAGATTATGTAAGATGGAGATGTAGTGCAGTCTCAAACTTCTAGACTTGAATTTTTTAAATATTAAAAATGAAACTCGGATAGAGAGACGATCCTTCGAAAAAAATCATTGTTTCAATCAAAGCATTTATCTAACTTTTGTAAGAAGTATGGCACCTCTTGGTAAAAAATGAACACATAAGTAATTTTATAACAATTAGGAAACTTGTATAGAAAATAATAAAAGGTTTTTTTCTGTGTTAAAAACCAAAGCAGAAATTCCTTTTAACACCTGAAATTAATTAACATCAGTTTCAACTTTTCTTAAACTTTAACTGTCCCATGTGATTCAAAGATGAACGTGTGAATCCTCCCCTTCCATTGGGGTTAATTGATTGGCAGAGAAAAAAGAAAAGCATATTTTCCATCTTTGACCAGATGAATTAATATTCCGTGTGAAAATAAGTGAAGAGTTTTTGAGGGAAAAAAGTCTAGAAAAAGTTGTAGTTTCATAAGCTTGTTGACTGAGATGTTGGCTTTGTTAATTTGACTGCTTTGCACGCATGCTTTCTGCACCGTTGCTGTTGGTTAGGAGGACGTACCTCTGCTACTCTCCTTGGAGAAGAGTTGCCACCAAACTCGGTGTCAAGTAAGTCATATTCCCTTGAACATCAACTCAGAATCATTCTGTTTCGTCTCTCACTCTTAGTGTCTCCTAAAACACAACTTTCATCTAGCTTTCTTTAGTGCCCTCTCATTTAGTGGATACTTATGTTAGTCTGCCAAATAGTTTCTCCGTGTTTTTTCAGAAATTTTCTCTTCTCTCCATGTCAAGATTTTATCAAGGGTTCCCCCCCCCCTCTTTGTTTAAATTGGAGGTTTCGAAAAGTTGAAATTCATAATTATCAAGCTTAATAATGAAATTTGCATCAAGTAGACAAATTAAGATTGCATACTCCCAAAGATCTCCTCCAGATCTATAGGAGGAAAGAAATTTTGAAAACATTTTCATACTGCCTCATTATGATGTCTTTTTAATTTTTCTAGTCAAAGTTGACCAATGAAAAAGAAATGATTTTCAGGCATCAAATGAAACGAGCTCCAGCTTGTATCACTGTTTTGTGTTCGGTATATATATCACTTTTTTCTTCTTTTCTTCTCTCTGTTTTTTCTTCATGTAAGTACATCCGTTGATCTCAGTTTTTCAAAGGCCTGTTTCTCTTAGTCAATCAAAATTAAGAGATTATGTCTGACAGGCACTCGTTTGTTGGTTTCCCTAGCACTTGCTAAATTTTTGCCTCCCTAGTATTTGCTTCTGTCCCCCCCCCCTCCTGAGGCAGGACCCGATTTGACATTGAAATGTATTGATGTTATTTTCAATTTTCTCCAAAATGGACAATAAAGTGGACCTAAGGATTGCTAACTCTCACATTTTTTGTTATTTTTTTTTCATCCTTTTTTCCCAACAATAATGATGCTCCTCTTCCACCCTTATTTTTCTTGAAGAAGAGGAGGTGTTAAGCATTACTTTTCCTCATGTTTAAACACAGCAGTTTTTCTCGTTAACCTCTTTCATTGCAGCTCCGATTTCTTTATCATGAGATCATAACTTTGAAAAATTAAAACCTTTCGCAACTTTTTTATTTTTCTACTCGAGGGAAAACAGAATCCAAAGCAGTTTTTTGAGTGTCTGTTAGAGTGTGACGTTCACTGATAGTATTTTCATGTTGCTCGTTTATTTCTTTTGCTTTCACCTAAAAATTTGTTCAAAAATTGTTTCTGGCAAATCTTCCCTCTCATATCTCATGCCACACTTGTCTGTATCAATTTTTATGGAGGAGGTACCCCTTCTGTTGCATTTTCCTTATGTATTTGCTTTAACCGGCTGGAAATACAACTAAATTGATGCATCCAATCAAATACTCTGTGATGCATTCCATGTTTCTGATCGTGCTTGCCTATCCTTTTCTGTAAGTGTTTGATCCGCTCTTCAAAAATTTCAAATATTTGTATGTGTCCTCAAGCCACTTGCTTCGCTTTTCACTCCGATAACTCTCTTTTCTGATTTGAATGTGTTGGCTTCAACACTCAGTGCTGTGTGATTGTAAATGACACATTAATTTCCAAAGTTTGATCTGCTCTTTATAACAAATAGAAAATAATTATTTATCCTGTTTTTCTTCATTTTTGTGGGCTTTTAAAAAGCCTAATTTTGAAATCGTTTTGAAAGCCTAATTTTCAAGGCCTTAAGTCGCTCAGTTATTTAGCTGGTAATCTCAGCTTTTATTCTTTCTAAAAACCGGAAAGAGTAAGAATGATCAAGCAAGTAATTTTAAATATGTATAAATTAATGGTGCGGTTTGTGGAAGGATGTTCTGTTTTTTTGAGGCACTTGCTGTTAGGTGTTTGTATCCGTAGGTCTGCTACATTATTTTATGTTTTGTCTTTTTTATTACTCTTATTTTTGTTTGATTTTTTTTTTTTTTGTCACCTTCATACACATTGTAAAAAATTTTCTAAACATTCTCATCAGTCAAATCAAAGGTCATTCAAGCAACATTTGATGTATTAAAAAAAAGGCAAAACTGCTTTGTTGTTGACCACAAGCTCACAATTGAATGTCAGCACAGATCTATCTGTATTGGTCGTTTAAAACAGTGGATTATTTGTGTTTATTTTTTTCTTTTGTTTGGTCTGACACTTTCAAACATACTGCTCATGCGTAATGGAAAAAGTAGTCAGTGGTAATTAAGTTACATTACTGAATGGCTGTGGTTGTGTTAGGTAAACTTTGGAATCTTCTAAATTCTGCGGTTTGAATCACCAACATTTTTTGATATTTGGTTGTTCTGTTTTAATGTTCCATTTTTAAGAGTAGTAAGTAAAGACAGCAAGGAATTAATATTAAAACAGAATGACCGGATCGGAAGACTCCAAACTTTACATTACCAACAAGCTGAGCAAATAGATAAAGAGGATTTTTAGGTGATGGCAAGCAGAGATACGTTCATTGTTACACCTTAGCGAGAAATTTCAGACCCGATGAGATTGTTCAAAGTTGGGTCATCTATGGCAAAATAGTGTCCATGCCTTCCTGTAGCTACATTCTCATTGATTGAAAGGCTGATGTACACCTCCATGTAACTACTAAATCTCAAGATGCCTGCCTCACCGTCACTTCTTGCACTGAAAACTTGTAACTTGCATTAAATGTCTGGTTGGCGTAATGGCAAATCTATCCATCAAAGGACAACAGATTTTTCGGGGATTTTAATTGGTGCTAGTAATGGACTACCAGCCGAGATGCGAATTTAAGCAAAATGATGTATGTTTTCTCATCAAAATTTTACAGAGAACACAATATTTGCAATAAAAATGACTGAATTTGAGCTCTATGCAAGATATATTTGTTCTTACTCAGCATTGATTGCAAAGAATTTGAATTTACCGTTCACAAAAAAAAATGAGTCAACTTTAATCAAATCATGCTTGAAGACGGTTTCGGCAGGCCTCTCAATCAAGCAGTGTTTCTTCCCCACCCTGTTTTGTTCAAAGTGTAAACAACCTGCAACAGATAAGCGGAAGCACCAATTTTGAGGTTGTCATATTTTTATACTGCCGAGACTGTCACGATAACATTTAGTGCTTAACATTAACTCTAGTAGATCGTGGTATGTTTTATGAGCAGGGAGCTTGATAGTATGCATCAACTATTGTCAATATCTTGGTTAGGAGTTATTTTCAATGATTTTTGCGCACAAATTGTTTTCTATGCAAAAGTTAGGTGAGATAACATTTATCACAATGCTTAAATTCGCAGCTTGTATAGTGTTCCGTTGTCCTGAAACTCTTTCAACCAAGAGTGTTTTGAAAATTTGTTGACACAGTGTCAATCGTCTTTTAATGAGAACATATATTGGATCGTGGAATATTCGGTCCCTCCAGCATTTTCTTTTATTTGTGTATTCTTGGGTGCCCAACCAACAGTATCAACACCAATTTCCGTAGTGTATATTAAATGCAATTACCCCAATTGAATTCCCAAAATTCGTAGAAATTTTGTACCTCTGAGAAATTAAACTGCTTTTGAATTTTATTTTACCATCTGTTTGTTGCGGTAGACAACTACTTGCACCAAGGAAACACTTGTGGTTCTTAATGAAGAACACTCACCTCTAAAATTCCTAGTATATAAAATTGTTAATCCTCCAGCTTTTTTGAATCATATAATTCGCTTTGCTTATCTATTATTATTTCGTCTTTTTTTCTTATTTACAGTCAAATTATAGGTGACGATAAAGAGTTTTTCTTTGGTCATCATCAGCTTGATGGATCCAGGTAAAGACAAATTTCTACAGTATTTTCAAATATAAGTGCCTGACCCTTTGCAAATTCACGATGTTATCATAGTTACGGGTTCTATCTTTCTCAGTTTAATAGACCTGTTGAAAGCTCATAGGTATGAGCTTTTGTGACTCCGGTTCTATTGGCCGTAGAGAGCTGAAATTTTGGGATTTTCATACCATCATACGGATCATTATGCTCTCTAAGTTTCATCAAAATCGAAGATGGTCATGAAAATTCACTGGTTGAGTTGACATGGAATGACCCTATCAATTATTTTATTCTATAGTCAACTGCTATTTAATTAAACAACTGAAAATATTTATGATCTCATCTATGAGAGTTGTTCTGTGAGTTTGGAAGCAGACCTCAGACAAAGTATTAAGATGAGAGCCAATACGCTGTGATAATACATAGTTTATAAAATTACTCCTATTGGGTCATAATAAATGCCCAATGTGAGTAAAACATTTATGAATTATTTATTATCACAGCGTATTGGCTCTCATCCTAATATTTTCAATATATAATGCTGTCCAGCCCAACATATTTCAATATTAGACAAAGTGACCTTATTGCATTTCTTGTGAAATTCAATATTTTCTTGTAAAATTCGTCTAGGTCAGATTATTTGATGAATTTACAAATTCCTTGCTCTTTCAATAGCTCTTTGGTCATCTTTAATTACCTTTGGATCACAAGAACTTGCATATTTTAACATATTCCAATTTCAAAGCAAATGAACTTCATACGTCTTACCTTTCGCAAGATTAGACTTTGCAAATTTGTTCAATTGACTTTCAAATTGGCAACGAGAAGATCCGTTTTTTTTTTCATCTAGACATCAAAGTTTTAGAATGGTGTAAATTATTATTTTACCATTTTCCTTATTATTTACAGCTGAAATATACTCTTTGTCTTTTAAGAGAGTTTGCTCAGTGGCACAAGTTTGCGAAGCTCAGAATTCTTTTATCAGAAATTTTACAGTCTTTCTCATTCTACATCAACTGTTCAAAAAAGTATGAGGAAGAAGAAGTAAGCTTGTCAAAGATTAAATTTTCAATACATAAGGCAAAGACTTGTAATTCCACTCGAGAAGATTTTGAATTTTAAAACGATTCAAAGTAAAATTACCCTCTACATTTTTATTTCTTTGTTTCAGTTTTACTGATGCTGACCCTTTAATTCCTTTTGAATTCATAAACGAAGGTAAGCATAATATTGAGTTTCATTGTGCAGTCGCTGCACTATAGTCATGCCAGGTGGAAGTATGAGACAGTAACTCCAGAAGAAGTCTGAATTATAAATCCATTGTCCCAGAATGGGGCAGTGGCAAGGAATTTCCCAGGATCGTAGTCTAGTTTTTCTGATGTAAAACTTTGTTGAAAAAAAAAAATCAGCAATTTCATCAAAAAGTTCAAAAAATAATTTCTAAGGAATGTAAGAAATAATTTGAATCTGACCCATCAAAAGCCAACAGTCGAGTTGACGTAGCAAAGCAATGCCTGAAACTGAGCTCAGACTTTCAGCAAACGCAGTTTCTCCCACCGAAATACCTATGTCATCAGAGCCTGCCAATTTTATTTAGATATATTTGGTATTTTGATTTATTTTACTTTAATACTTAACTTTTGCCATTTACTTTAGAAGGGAATCAAAAAAAAATTCCTAGAAGCTTAGTTCACCCCAAACTTTCAGGAAATGATTTGAAGAAAATGAGTGCCTTTAGCACACTGGAAGATGTAGATAGCATTAAATATAGAAGTGTGAACAAATTTAAACAATCGTTTGTAAAGAGGAGAAATACATTGAACCTGTCAGGTTACTATTGCTGTTTAATTTCTTGCCTTTGGACTTATTTTAAAGTAGAAACCTTAGTAGAGAATTGACATGTTTTTCTCTTTGGAGTTAATGTTATGTTTAGAGGTCCATTCTTTATATTTTACAGGGCATATTACTGCAAATGACCTAGAGACTGATCCTTTTCTTGGTCTTCAAGATGAAGAGCCTGATTCATGGACTCCTACTGCAGGGAAAGAGGTAATCAAACTGAACCATTTTTTTCAGATTGGAAACAATATGTAATATTCCACAAAAATTATTTATTTTTCATGCCTAAGACATGCCTGGATTTGGAAACCTCTGAAGATTGAATTGAAACAGAAATCTTTCCCCCATGAAATTATCCCGAGGCTTCATCTTTTGAGCCGTTTTGCAGCCATCAATAGTTGAAACTAAAACATCTAGATCTCGCGTCAGCTGTTATTTACTTTTTTGACTGTCGTGCGCAGTAGATCAGTTTGCGTATCTGTGTACTGGATTGGCAGCACCCGCAGTCAATCTTCAATTGCTATCAGATGACGACAGCAACACATTCGCTTTCAAACAGGAAGTAAACAATTGCCAATTTATCGGACGCAAGGTCTGAAAATTGATCCTTTTATCAAGATGTAATGATCACAGTTTCTCAATTCAATTTCTCAATTGCTGTAAATTTTTTATTGTCTATTTGCTATTTGCCATTTTGGAAGTTTGTACTTCCATCTTTAAAGCATCGACCGTATTAGACATTACTTGTTTTGTCATCCATAATAAAAAGAGAGTAAATAAAAGCAAACCTAATTCAAGTGAGGAAAATAATAAGAAAGAAAACAAAATTAAACCAAAACTAAATTCTTGGACGAAGGCGATAACACTTTGTTGTCATAGGTGATCGATAATCGATTTGATGCATTTATTGCCTTTGTTGACCAAACAGCCTCATGTCTCTTTTACCTGCATCATTTTATGTTTCCTCTGTCTTATCAGGTACTGAAAAAATTAAAAGAAAAGGAAATCAAACGGCAAGAACATATTTACGAATTCATCCTAACTGAGAAACATCACTGCCTGACGCTCAGAGTTATGCAAAAAGTAAGTTTACCTGCACTGTCTAACTTTTAATTGCTAAGCCAAACCTGCCTCTAAATTCCTCATAGAAATTTTATAACTTGCCTATGTACCAATAACATGTATTAACTTGTTAACTGAACCCTATGATACACTTATTATAGTATCAATAATAATGCAAATTACCTATTTTCAATGCCGATGAGTTTTAGTCAACACTTTTAATGTGGATACGATTTTAATTTTTAATTGTCATCTGAATAATTACTGAAATAGTTGCATTCAAAACATAATTTATTTGTTCTTGTTCTGTGTTATCAAAGGTAACCATGCTAGAAATTTCTTGCCAAATTATCTCTGCTCCCCACCAGTCTTTTTTATAGCTCTTTTTACCACAGTGCTTGTACAAATTAAACACTAACCCATTAGAAGAAAAAAAAAAGAAGAAAGAAATGGTGATGATGAAAAGATTGGTTAAAATTTGAGTAGCAATCAAAAAAGTTTGTCTAGGTTTCAGCATTTTCCACTAAGAAATATTTAGGCACATTTTGCGCATGATGCCTATCGGACTCAAATACTGCCGGCCCAGAAACCTCTTTATTATCATGTGAATTAATGCGTGGATTAACAGGAGTTTTAACTTTGATTGCAGGTCTTCATGGATGGGTTGCATAAATATTTTAAATGGACAGATCAATATATCGGAAAGATGTTTCCTCGGCTAGCAGACCTAACAAACATTCATTTAAAATTTTTGCATCAGCTGAGAGAAAGACAAAAGAAAAACCCTGTCATTGAATCTATTGGTGATATTCTGCTAGAACAATTTTCTGGTTTAGGTGCTCAACAATTGAAAGATGCGTACGGAGAATTCTGTTCCAGACATCGTGATGCTGTTGATATGTATAAGTTTTATTTACAACGAGATAGACAATTTGCTGAATTTGTCAAACATTGTCAGGTTTGTATCTTAAAACATTTCATTCCCACCATTTTCTATCCTTGTTGTGTTTTTTTCTTAATTGCGCCTTTTTTTCGATGGATGAGTTCTTTAGGTAGGGCTCTTATGAACCAAGGAACCAAAAGAGTTCTGAATATTGAAAACCATCAATTACACCAGAAATAGACTGACTTGGTGGCTACATCATAGTTGAATTGTAAACAAACTTAAAACCTTCTCTCTCAATTGTGCTTCTCGCGCCATTGTGATGTAATGCATCTAAAAGTTTCCTGCAAGTGAAATTTCTCTTTTATAATGAGTCATTATTTTATTTATGATTTGTCAATGACTTTATTGTAATGAATTAAAACAATTAATTTTACAAACATGTCTCTGGAATTTGGACCTGAGGTTATGTGCCATTGTTTTGGTATGCAAATTGATGGGTAGATAATTGCAAGAATGGTGTAATGACTAAATCAGTCTATCAGTGAAAAATCTCAGATCAGATGGAATTTTGGTTTTTTAGTAATGATGTACACAATTTTAAACTTAATGTTGCCTAACTGGTTCTTAAGTTGAATCCTTTGATTTTTATTCTTGCACGATTGTAGGGAAAATCCTAGAAAACCTCCAAAATTTTTAATTTGAGAAATATTTTGAATCCAGTAAAATTTTCGCATTTTCATTGCATTTTGCATTGCTTATGAGAGTAGCAAAAGTAGCTTTGATTGCCCAATTTCTCTAGTTTCAGTTTGACATTCATTTTCCAAGGTGACATTGGAAAGTTCTCGGTTATGTAGAAGAAAATCTAAAATAAATAAATATTTAAGTAATAAATGAAATCCAAGATAATATTGTGGAAATCTTATTTGTGTGAAGGAATATCCATGTTAAGTTGAAGAAAGTACAAAACTATACACAGAAATATTTTAATGCGTCCATCCACACTCCAGTCATAACTGACCAACCCTGAAGTTGCTTATAACATGACTAGTGTTATTTCATGGCGATTTTCTGCATGTCGCTGCTCAATAGTTTTGCTCTCTATGGGCTCACTTATCTTTGGAGCAAGGCTCATTCAAAACTTTATCGCAAGATGTTATAATTGCTAATGAGGATTCCAGTATTGGTTTTGGCGACTGAATTGTACAGGTGTGTGTGTACACAGAAGTGTGTTGGCAGGAGCAATACAAAAAAAATGGAAACATGCCTTTAAATTTAAATACGTATGTTAAATCCTGGGAATTGCACCTCACAAATACAGCAATTTGCAGATTATCCGTCGATTTATGGGGAGGAGAGTGTCGAATATTGAAAAAGTCAAATAATTGAAACCACCAAAAAAAGACAGAAAAAGTGCCATTTCAGGCTCTGTTTGTAACCTGATAGCACAAACGTAGGCATTTTTTTATTTAATCTGTAAAACGTAGTTATTTATTTGGGGGGACAAAACATGGAGAAACATGTATATTCAATTCTTGCCCAATGAACTGGTTTTTGCAGTCGGAAAATCAGTGGCCAAAGAATTGGGGCATTACTTTAATTGAAAAGAAAATGTGGTCTTTATCTTTTTGAACGCTGACATAAGTAATTTTCTCTTCATTTTTAGGCAAATCCTCTTTTGAAGAAAAAAGGTATTCCTGAGTGTATCCTCTTCGTCACGCAAAGGCTCACAAAGTATCCATTGTTGATTGAACCTTTGATTAAAACCTCCAAGGAAAACAAGGAAGAGCATGAAAAACTAGCCAGAGCCTTAGCTCTTGTCAAGGTCAGTGCTCTACTAAATAGTAAACTCATTTTTATGTCCAGAAATGTACCTCTTTAGGTTCTTAAATAGAAGACTGTTGATGATTTGAAATTCTTTTGGACGTTTGTCAGCCTCCGACACTGAAAGAATTTAAATTAAAAATGTGCTGTCTCTCAAGTAAATATGTTGTATTCTTCTTAGATATACCGTTTAGTTGGTTTATGAATAAAATTTAAAAGGAGAAACAATTTTTCAGGCAAACAAATGAGATTGATTGCCATGCAAATGAGTTGAAGCACTCTCTGACAGGAAGTGTCTAAAGTTGTAGTTTAGATTCTGCTTCACAGAAAGAGCTACTAATGTGAATACTGCTGAGTTGAGGTTGTTGAGTAATGATGTAAATTTCTGCGACTGGATTTAGTTCACTTTTCGGACTAAATCCTTGAATCTGACAAAAAAAAGACGCAAAGCTGCGTTAATGACAATTATGAACAATTTAGGAGAGGTCACACAACTTCAATCCAAAAGTACGGAAAAATGCTGCACTAATTTTCACTGCATTTGTAAATTTCCAACTGCGTGCGTCTTTTTGAGTGCAATGACCAATCAGAATTGAGCGCAGTCACAAAATCATTTTTGAAATGTTACGGGAACGACATAGTATTGCTGAATGCAGGTGCTCCGTTCGTAATTATGAAAGGGTTAATTATTTGTCTTTACAGCCTTGTTAAAGTTATTTCCTTTTTTTGCAGGAAATCCTAGTGGAAGTCGATGAAAAAGTGGCAGAAAAAGAGAAGGAGGATAGGAAATTAGAAATTTACAATAAAATTGATGTTAAATCTTTCACCATGTACCGCGGCCTTAAATTTAGAAAATCTGATATCCTCTCAGACAATCGTAAACTAAGGTATTCTTCAATCTGATTATTTTCCCTCCATCATCAAGATTTTATGATTTTTAGTTTGAATTTTTCAGACAAAATCCTTAATAAAAATTTCATCAATGTCTGAGAGTAGCTACTGCATAACTTATATCATGATGAAGCCAGTGAAATGAGCTGTTTTTATAGCCGAATCCATGGAAATTAAACCAAATTTGGTAGTTTAACTCCAGCCGCCATATTTAGAGGTATGCTAAAAACTATAAGCATCAGAGAGATATGTCAGAAATTACAAGCTTCAGAGATAAGCTTTGAACTATGTTGAAACTTTTTAGATGTTGTGTTTGATCAGAGATGTTGAAGTGTGAAGGATGCAACATGTATAGTGCTTCATAATTAAGTCAAGGTGAATTTGTAGACTTGAATTGATTCAAATGAACTTATACAATCGATGTTTTTAGGGCATTTTATTTTACTGAATTCTCTGCCATTATTTTTTACAGGTTTGAAGGTGTTACAATGTTAATGCAGGGAAGAAGCAAGATGCAATATGTTCTCATGATCGTATTATCCGACATCTTGTTGTTTTTATCAGAAAATAACAATAAGTACACTTTTTTTACTCCTGACAATAAGGTAAGTGTTTTCATCATGGAAATTCTATATTTTGTTTCTTTTTCTTTTTTAAGTAATGTTTTTCCCTCCAGGAACTTCACCTGTAAGATTTTCCGGAGTTTATCCTCTTATTCCCCTTTTTTTTCTTTTCCTCTTCTTCACTGTATTTTAGGTGGTGTAGCAAAAATAAATTGAAAATTTAGGAAGTCCGCAATTAGAAAGTTTTTAATCCTTCCTAGCCATTTTTTTTGTCCAGTAAATATAGCCGAGGAAATGCCAGGATTTTTCAATGCAGAAAAAATGAACCACCCTGTTCATACACGAATGGCCAAAAGTTGCTGTAATTATAAGTGAAATGTTCATCAAGGTCCACAGTTTTAAATTTTCCATGTTTCTACATTTCTAATTCATTGGGAAAGAATCATTTTTTCTAAACGCTTTAACTGTATGAAATGGACTCAAAATATATGAGCCCACTATTACTAATTTATATTATGTATACTGAACGATCTCTCTGCAGTCGACGTGTTGCTCTCAAAGCATGAATAATCCTTTTTTTTTCTTTATTTCAGGCGGGTGTAGTCTCTCTTCAAAAACTTCTAGTCCGGGAAAAAGCTGGTACTGACTCCCGTGGTATCTACTTGATATCATCAAATCCTGCTGAACCTGAAATGTTTGAATTGAAAGTTCATAAACCAAAGGATAAACGAGTTTGGGTTGAAGCCATTAGGTACGTATCTTTGTAGACTATGAATTTTTGTCATTTCCAGGTATCTTTACATTTTTATTGATAATTAAAGTGCAAAAAAAGAAAAAATAATGAAAAATAAAACTCAAAACTCAACTTCTTTTCACCATTTCTTTCTACTCGCTCTCTACCAGTGGTCATGATTATAGTAAAAAGAGTTTACAACTTCTCAGCTCCTGACTTAACCCATTGACTTACAATGACGGCTCCCAGCCGTCATTGCAGCGATGGGCCAGCTCTGCAATGACGGCTCAGAGCCGTCCGCTGATTGTTCGCGTTATTTCGGCAATTCTCCGGTAGATTGCGTTCTCATCAATGTTTATATGAGTAGTGTGGCCACCCTATGACTTATTGTGTACGGTAATTTCTTGTTTTGTTGCGGTATTTTCATATTACTGTGCGTTTGCACATGAAATAACCTCAAAATTTTCTGATTTTCGCTGATCTTGCGATTTTTGCGATTTTGACAGCTATAAACCACATAAAAAAATCATTGTGTTCATAGTTTTCACCATTTTTCTCAAACGTTGTATTGTGAATGCTTATTTTGTCAATTTTCACCCTTTGAGAAATAATTTCTGGATTATTTTGAAGTGTTCAAAGTTGCTGATTTTTGCCAAATTAAATCGTAATTCCTGGCCCGGCAGGGTCAAATTAAATCATAAGTCAATGGGTTAAGGATGTTACTCTCCCATTTTTGCCTCAAAGCAAAACAGATCCAGAGGGAATTAGAAGAGGGTTTTATGAAAAATTAATTAACTGTAGAAGAGGGTTTTATAAAAAATTAATTCATTGCCTCTTCACTCATTTCGTAACAGAGATTCAATAATTTTCTCATTAACTTGACAGAAATTGTTTTCCTACCTTAAAAAATAGCTGAGATAAATATTTGAGAACTGATCGTTAGAGTTGAATGAAAATTTCTTGATATGGCTGCAGTAAATTCAATCAATCTTTGGCTGCTGTGTGCTCCAAGTAAACAAACCAATTCACTGTATGAAAGCTGAAAAAAGATCTTTCAAACCGTATAGTTGGATTTTAGTCAGCATCAATGTTTGTTGCTGAAAAAAAAATGGAAATCTCACTAATTGCATGATTCTAAAGAGAAAAAAACCTTCGAGTCAATTTATTTTTCAAGAAGGTTGTTAAACACATTCATTTTCGGCTACAAACACAGTAGTTTCACCTTAGTGAATGATGATGAGATCATAGAGATACTCACACTTTCATCTAACTCTTCCGCAACAAAGCTCTGTAGAGGCAGCCTGGACGAAAGCCCAAGAAATGGACACAGAGCTGCCTTTCATCTTCAGAAGATCATTAACATCTGAGTAGAGGCTAGACAATGAGGGACCTTTTCCTAGTCAAAAGGTAGAAGAAGGAAAAAATAGCACAATCTGCTAAATTCCTAAAAAAGTAATGTCTGTCTAATATTTTTGGTACGAGAAAATCTAAATTATTACAACAGTGTCAAAGATTATATGGACGGAGTTAACCAGAAAGGAACCAAGCCACATCGGGATCGAACCGAGAAAAAGAGGTTTAAAGTTTGGCTCCTGCATAAGACTCAATGTAAAAGATAAACTTCAAGTTCAATTTCTGCAAAATTTGCTCCAACAAAAACTTAGAATTTTTGGCGATAGATAGTAGAGCAGTGGTTGAGTTCAAAACCACTCATAACTCAATTTTTTCCAAAATGTGGGTTGGTTCCTTTCTGCTTAACTCAGTCCGTATGTAAATAAAAAAAAAGGGTGCAGATGTTACTGAAAGAAGATGTAAGAAAAAATGTCCTCTTTCACGAAATTATTGAAACTTTGCAAATGTTGACACCAAGTATCCTTTGCCTATCAGTTCTGGCAAAGACAGCAAAGTCATGCTTTATTTGTTCTTTAGTTCTATAGGGGTTAAAATTGAAAATTCAAATTTTGATATCCTTCATCGGATAGAGATTAGGAAACTGGTGGCTCAAAAATTATCCGGCATCATTATGATTTTACATTGGTTTTTCAACAGATCTGCTGTTCAAAATTGTCCATTAGATGACGACGAAGATAGAGCATCCATGACTGCTGAGCAAAGGCAAAAACAGATGGACGCCAGTCAAGCTCAAATAAAACAGATTACAGGTACATAAAAATCTTTGCCTTCTCTCTTTTTTTTTGTATATTAGTCTTACATGTATAATTTATCTTAAGCATATATTACTTTATATCTGAGGGGCCCCTTACGAATGATTTAAAACCAAATTTACAATTTTTGACACCCACTCCCTCTAGTACTCTAAAGGGCACGTAAGGGGCAGTAGCACTTCATTCATAATACATTATGCCTGAAAAAATAATTTCACTTAATGCTGCATTGAAACACCGCAATTGAGAAGTACCCTTTGACAGGCCTTCTTCAAAATATTGCCAAACTCACTTTTCTCATTACTAAAAAGGGTTAAAGCCTGCAGATTCATCAGAGCAGGGATTTTTTCTAGTCGCTCAATTATTTCTTTACGTAGCAAATCAACAACTTATGTTTCCCTTCTTCTTGTCCATGAACTTGAACATGTGCTGTATGAACTTAAACTGTAGACAGAGAATTTTCTAGTCACAGCTTTTAAAAAGGAAAAAAAATGAGTAGGTTTTTCCGATGTGGTTGTTACTCTGTCGATACCTGTTTCCCACATTAGCTCTGTAAAAATGGTGCACCTTCTAAAAAGTTTATTCCCCAATATTTTGCCTTTTACCTCAGGCATCTGTTTGTATGATGTCTATTTCTATCCTCCCTCCTCTAAAATGAGTAAATTCAGAGTACCCTCAGACTGTATATTTTCAATCACACAGTGTGAGTTTGAGAAATTTCAGTCTTTTGTACATACTTCGTATTTTCTCTCTTTTTTGTGCTCTTCGGTAGATTTAGGATTTCGAGGTAAATAATGTCCAAATGATATGCTTGCCTCCTTTGGGTTTCCTCCCCGTAATTATTTGAGTGCCCCCTGCACAGTATCCACATGCCTTTCTCATCTATGCTTCAACCCCTAAAACTTGATAGTTTACCTCCTTTTCGGTGACTCAATTCTAACCCAATCCTTTTTGCTCATGACTCATTTTTCAATAGAGATCAGTTATAAGCCAGTCACTTGCTATGAACTTAATTCATCACTTTATGTCGTAACTTGAATAAAAGGAAAACGAAATTCCACCCTGCATTAGTTGTTATTTTGAATCTGTATCAAAATTGGTTTGCTATCAAAAATGTCTTTTATCATTCAAGCAATTAGACCAGACCACACATATAGATATTATCGCGAGTAAAAGCATTAAATTATTCAAACATAAATTGTCAAAAGAACACCTACCTCCAGTTCAAGTATTTACTGAATTGCAATCTACCAACATGCTCATCAAAGTCATGTGCCTCAAACGTACACTTTTTCATGCTTCAGGGTAACAAAATATCACTTGTAATCCACGGCCTATTTGATGGTGCTAGTCCTCCATACTTAGATCAACTTAGCTCTCATTTCAGCAAAAAATTGTCTAGGTTATCCTCTAAACTTATGCTTTTTTATTGTTATTACGTTCTTATTTATTTTATTTATTTATTTATTTTTTAAGTCCATGTAGACCATACATAAACCTTTCACAACATTAAGATAAATATATGTGCAGCCATTAGTTAATGAAGGTCGACTTACACAAAATTTGAGCCCCAACACAAGCCACTAAAAATTACACAAACTACTCAGGATTTTTTGTAAACATCGCACATCCTCATGTCATGTTTCAACTCTCATTACTGCATGTTCAGCCTTCATACTTGAGTACCAATACCTTGTTCACCTCCTTGCATCAATTGAACTTTTAGGTCGCTCACATGCCCCTATCTCTAACCCATTTCAAAAAACAGAAAATGAGATTTTTCATCCTCAATTAGCATACAATCCTAATATTCAGCATGTTCCTTCTGCTGCCAGAATGTGCTCTAAATAGTGTGAATTTTCAACCAGCTGGTATTTCAAACAACAAAAATAAATTACCTGTACAAATTGAATAAAAAGAGAAAAAAATGGAAACCATTTAGGAGGAAGAAAAAATTGCACAGGTTGCCTATTAGTATATTCTCTAAGTATCATGATGATAAAAGTTTGTCATCTCTTTCCTTTTTTGCTTTTTTTCTTATTTTTCTCCATGAGTAATTAAATCGTATTATTTGTCTGTGTCTCATCAAGAGATCCTATCATAGTCGAAAATTAGTGTTAGAAGTGCCTTTTCCCCATTTTCTTTTCAAGATTCCTGCTCCCTTTAGTGAGATTGCCTCTTTTAGTGGACGTTGCTTACATAAAAATTTCAAGCAGGTATGTCACAGTTTTGAGTTTGAAGTTAGTCATAGAATCAATACCGCTGCTTATAATCCAGTTCAGCTCAGCTCAATCTTGTATCTTAGCTTGAACTGATCAATCTTTTATTCTCCTTGCAGGAATTCTACGGCAAAAAGATGTAGAACAAGCCTTAATCCTTGAAGAAAAAATGGCTTTGCAGTTGAAGTTATTGGCAGCTTCAGGAATTACCAACCTACCAAACCCACCCTCTTATTCCCACCTGGTGGCTGAGGAACATGACACCCAGAAAATGTGGCAGGAAGTCGCTTCAATCGTTCAGGTAAGCATACATTTTTTTTGCAATCACTTGCTGTATGACGAACTGTTGTTATTTTTGTGACCCAAAATTGTATCACAACACTGTAAAGCCTTGATCAAAAGTCTTTAGTTGGGGGCTGATGGGTGTTATTAAAGAATTTTATAATGAGACCTATGCAAGAATGAAATTCCATGGAGGATTATCTATAGGGTTTTTAGCAATAAAGGGGCTGAAGCAAAGGTGTTGCTTGTTGCCAACCTTATTTAAGATCTCTGTTGAACCCATACTAAAGGAATGGAAGAAAATATTGCAGAAGTTGCACACCTCCTCTTCCATTTCTTTAGTTCGGGTTCAACAGATATCTTAAATAAGGTTGGCAGTAGGCATCATGCTGAGAGATGATGGCCTACTTTATACTCTATTTTTTGCTGATGATCAAGTGGTTGTAGTGCAAGATGAAGAGGATGCAAGCTCAGCAAGGTATTAAGTTGGAGGATGGCCGGAACGTCAAAGGGTGTATATCCTAACAGCCTAAATACTCAGCCAAGGTTGGCTTGGCAAGGCCAAGGGGGGCTGATCCAAGATTGATCCTTTGGTTAGGCAATCAGAAATTGTAATTTGCAAGGAAGGAAAGGTGTCGTGATGCCAAATAGAGCTCTTTTAGATTAGAATATTTTAAAGTAAAATAAACGGCTGTACAACGCCATTGTAAAGAGTATTATTACCCATGAGAGTGAGGTTTGGCAGTTGAAAGAGGAAATCCGAAGGGCAACTGAAATGATTTATTGCCAGAGATCAGCATGTTGTGAAACCTTTTGACCTAGAAAAACGTTGAAACATTTTTTTTATTTGCCCAGAATTTTAGACAGAGACTCTAGCTAGGTGAAGAGAAGACGTACAAAAAAATCGAAGCAAATTCTCGCTTTTAACGTTTGAACAATCTGTCTGAACAACTGTCTCCTGCATCATCAAAACTTTCCTTCATTTCAGGAGCAGTTAGCATGGAACAATTCAGATTCTGGGTCTGTGCATGAAAATCAGCCAGCGCTTTCAGTCACGGATGGCCTTTCTACCACAGAACAAATCGATTTAATCAAAAGCTCAAACCGAGCCTTGCAAACAATAGGTCAAGAGCACCAGTTGGCTGCCATGCAGCTATCGCATCACATTTACACACTGTCCTGCGTTATCGCTCAGCAAATGACGACAATAGATAGGTAAGCTGTTAATTTCACGTTCAAAGCATAATAAAAATGAATTACCAAGAGGAATTCATCTCTTAAACTGATAAGTCAAACGACAAATAAAGAGATGAAATAATTGAACTATTTTGTACCTTATCTTACTTTTCTACCTATCCTCCTCCTTCATCTTTGGTCAATCATCTTTCATATGCCCTATGCACAAAAATCAGAATCCTTATTCTTGAGCCATATGTTGACTGCCTGTTCTGACCCTCTACATCGGTTGAGAAACTTTGGTCTGCAAGAGCAGCTTTTCAAGTGTGAAAGAAGGTGATTCTTGCTCTAAACAAGCACCTCACACCGCATGATTTTGCCCTTATCTTGTTGACCTGTGTCACATTCTAGAGAGCAATTCCATACATTTTTTCCCCTCTCCATAAATTAAGGGGTTGGTTTCTTTTATCTACGACAAATTTTTATCTTATGTTTAATTTTCTTTCAGTCTTCAAGCTCAGTTGTCTGCTTACAAATCACAGTTCAACCTCGAAGATTGTGGAACTTTTGTTGGAGTAGGACTTAAAGAAAGGAAATCTGTTTATCGACCCAATCAGCAGCTAGAGGAATTAAGAAATTTGCAAGATCGGCTGACGCATGAAAAAGAAGTGTGGCAGAGAGAGAAAGAATCTGAAGAAAAATACCTGAAGGAAAAGAAAGAGGAGCTAGATAGACGTTCGGTAAAACTGTTTATCTTCTTCTTATAATTAGTAAAGTAACAACCCTCTTCAAATAATTTTATTTAGAAGAATACACTTGGCCTAGGTGCAATGAAGATTAAGATGGAATGCTATTTTCCTGTAATTTTTGAGGTGAATTAAAGAAATGTAGTCATAAACTAATAATATTGGTGAAATTTCAAAACAAGCACCTCAAATTTAGTGTCTCAAAATTTACAGGTTCACTTAATTTTTTCAAAGTATAACAGTCCGACATCACTATTAGAAAGTTTATAGAATACTCTCAAACAGCATGAACATGAAAATCGGAGGAAATGTTATTAACTCATTCTCTTACATTTATTTCCTTGATTGCCTTGCCATTCATCATGATTTCATTCAGGAAAAAGCAGTAAATTTGATACCTCTTATTGGTTTTACGGCTCGCACAGATATGTTGAATTTTGGAATTGTCAGCATTTTTAGTACTTTCAGTTAGGGCACGTCAAAGAGCTGTTAACTCATTTCTTTTCAGTTGCGACCATCAAAACCAATAAATTGGCAAATCTACTAGAACCATGATAACAAAGAAGTTACGTGGAATATTTGGATACAATAACACCAAGTTAGCGCATAAAAAAGGAAAGCAATGGTGAAAAAAATATTTCCAGCTAGTCAAACTACTCTTACGAACAATTTTAAGTTTTCTAAATGACATTAACGTGTTACAGGAGGAGCTTGATATGAAACAAAAAGACATAGCAGCGCAAAGAGACCAACTCTATCGAAAGCTTCAAGTTTTTGAATCAAAAGGTCTTCTGATAAGTCCAAACCTACCTGTAGTTGCTTCGCCAACATCAGCTCCACCCACCTCAACGAACCCATTTTCTAGCGAATTCAGCGGAGCTGTGTCAGAGCCGCCGCCAGTCAACCTCAACCCCTCACCTACTGACCCGCCAAAACGGAAGGCAGACTCAATCAAGTGGAAACAGCAGCACCCGGCAAAGGCGAGCACTCTGCCAATAAACCTCCTCAGTGCAACTAACCAGCAAAAAGTGAGTTGCTGCTTTTCATGTGTTGCTTTTCCCTGTGAGCTTGTTAGGTAATTATTTTCAAAAGTAGAAACTGCACTTCGGTTACAGGAATTTTCCTGGATTTTTTTAAGGATATCAACCAACAGAAAAGAAATTCAAATTTGCCATTTTCAAGCTTCCGTTAAAACAGGCATTACCAAGAAAAACATGATGACATCCACTATGGATAGCCGCATAAACTATGGATTGCAGCAGAGGCACCAAGTAAGTGGAAGTGTACCCACAGCCGGAGAGATATTTTCAGACACAATCTTGGCTGCCTCAGCAATGCACATTAAAATGGGAGCTCAAAAAATGCAACTTTGAGATAATTTTCCCGTGCCAATATTGCTAAAAAATTCTTGTCAACCGAGTGCGCTCTATACTTCTTAGAAATGTAAGATTTTAAAATTACTGAACAGGCATATTTAAACAGTGTTGATTCTGCCAATGTGCGTTAAAATTCAGTATACAACTGATACTCTCGACATTGAGAAGAGAAGCTTATGGCAGCACAATTTTTCCTCCGATAGGTATGCTGTTTGGTGCATCACTAGTTAAGGCCTATCAGGAAGGAAACAAAGACCGCTCTTCAGGTCTAAATGGTTCCATAGATGTTTTGTTAAATTCATCCAAGCCCATCAAAAATTATCTGATGACCGCGGATGTACAAAATGAGTGGTGTTAAACTCTTGATGGATTTACCAGATTTCCAAGATGACTGCCCAACAAATGGCTCTTCAGCTCATCAAGGTTTTGGATTGTTGAGCGGGCACTGGGTTTTTGATTTGTTATAGTTTACATTTTATGCCATTTTATGTTGACATATGAATGATCCAATCAAGACAAATCAGGAAATCAACTGCAGCCATTTTTTTCGCCGATTTGATGAGTTATGTAATGCATCTCACCATCATCTGCTTCCAAGCCTGGAGAGGTCATGAAAACCAGTCCGAAGCTTAGGTTTATGGCCACAGCAGCAAGCAAGTGTAATGCCATCTAGTGAGAAAATTATCCGAACAGCTCCACTAAAGCCGTGGAAAGGCAGTGTTTCAACAAACAAACTACGGTTCTGACGGATTTGCAACCCCTTTAACTAATAACTGTGTCAGAATTTTTTAAGAAGGAAGTTAACTTTTATATTTTTTTTATAGTAAGCTACATATTATTAATGTCTTTTCTCTTTGTTGTTTTGTTTTAGGTTGCAACCAATGTTCACGTCAAGCAGCAGCTCCCGTTGAAGCTCGCATCAAAACTGGGTGGGTCATCTGATAGTCCCTAATATTTTTGGATTTAAAAATAATTTACCGAAAGACGAATTCCTTAGCATAGTTTGAAATTTGAGCTGGATGTGAAACATTTTGAAACAATGTATTTTCTCTTTTTGTTTCCCTCAAGAATCTCATCATCTGCTCAGAAAAATTATTGAATATTTTCCATAACCAGAAATAATATAAATTGTAACTTCTACTGGTTTATAATTTCTTCTCACTTTTTTGGGTTTTGAATTCCTCGAGAGACTTTCTTTTCTTTTAAGAGGAGAGTATGATAAAATATTGATCACAACACAGAATTTTTACAAAGAAATTCTGAAGTTAGTCAAGGTGATCAGTCTAGTTAAAAACATCAAATAATATATCTCTTGTGGAATGTAAGCCTGTATTTTTGTCCTATGCATTATTTGTTTTCTTTTTAATCAGAGCTCCTAAAAAGGAAACTGTCCATAAAACGAAGAGAATTGGTGCCGGCTAAAAAACGTTATTATTTGATCTAATGTTATCCATGACCTCCTGAGGATAACATGCATTTATATGAAACGTGTCAATTTGAGAAAAGTTGGCCTGAAGAGTGATTTCTGTAGGATTTATTCTTGTTTGCCAAAGGGGCTGTGGCATTCCTGCTGTATCAGATCCCCAGATGAGCCTACGTGCAGAAGTTTTTGATGGTCTGCCGCCTCTGTTATCATCTAGTTGGTGTAGAAAGAAGAGCTCTCCTTGATGCCTAATTTGGCTTTGCACTTTTTTGCTGCATAATGTGCTTAAAAAAGCTACAAATTGACATTTTTATTCTTTTGTTCCCCTCAAAATTGGTAAGGGGTTGGTATGCTTGATTTTCAAAGTCTGTCAAGCTTAGGAGGTCGTTTCGGAAATTGTATAAAATAATAACAAAATTTAGCTGGCGTGGAATCTTTTCTCTTCTTTGTGGTCTCATTCCTACAGTTATTTTGGATATTTATTTTGTGAAAGAACGACAGTGCTGCCTGTGAAAGCTCAACTCATTACTCGTTTGAAGTGGAAATTGAGCTCTTTAAGAAGATCCAAAACCTTTTGAAAGCAGGAACTTCAGTAATAATTTGAGTTGTTTGCTCACTCTTAGAATTTTCAGAATATGAGTGTCCTTAAATATTTGAATCTCATCGGAATTTTGTTTAAGCATGAACAAAAACAAACAGCTACGACAGTACAGTTATTCACTTGTGATTTCCTTAGTCATGATTCTGAACTTAACCAAGCGTGGGATGTTTCAGAGTCAAATATGGGTACAAATCATGACAAGCGACCTAAACTAAAGGACTCTAAACTTTTTGACCCACCCAAAACTAAAGTACCCTCAGCACCAGGTGGTCATCAGAGACTTGGCTCAGAAAGTTTGAGCCCCCCAGACCACGCGCCTACCCATTCTAGGACTGGCTCTAGCCCTGCACTCATGCAAAATGTTGAGGTACAGAAAATCTACTGATAGTATCTATGTAATTTTTTAATTTCCAACCTTAGGAGACTAAAATTAATTTGGAACTTATCAGCAAGAGAATGAAGCCCGGTGCTATGTAATGGACCAAAAGGATAAGGGAAAAAATTCATTAAGAAAGCTCACATTAGCATCTCAGGTGCATTTCACACAGCATGGTCCATGACTCCCTTACAATGCCGAATGAAGGAGTCTACGAGAAATACTAATTAGTTAAATTACCCCAGGGCTTTTCCAGGACCTCCAAAAGAATTTTTAAGGACTTTCACAAAATTTTCGAGATTTTGAAGCATGTCCAAAAATTGGAACTTCCCATTTCCCATTCTTTTTAATGTTGCTGATCTAAAAAGTTCGAAAAATTTCAATTTAAAGTTTCAGTAAAACTTTATCCAGATTTTTGTAAGTTAAAAAAATAGAGATTACAAAACTGCCTATTTTGAATGCTTTAAAATTTGGCCCATAGGAAATGTCATTATTTTATATATATAATTCTAGATAACTCTTTCTAACCCTTATGCGTTTTCTGAAAACTTACTCTTTGCCATCTCTGGGTAAAATGGCAGATCGGCTTCAAATTGTGAATTTTTTGGCTTTTTAATGCATGTTTGGCTGCATTTCTGCCTTGCTCATTATCGCCAATTGTGACAATTCTCTTCCTCCCCATAATAAGAGGAGGAGTTTCACTCTCTTTTCATTTTCTTTGTTGCTCTAACGTTTCTTTTTCTTCATTTCTTCCTATTATTTTTCTAGACACATTTCAATTACATTTAAAGCAAGCAATTTGTGGAAGCAGCCTAGTCTCTGATGCCCTATCTCGGAAGCAATAAGTTCAACTGTATCCTGCGCAGTTATATTTACTGTCCTCCCACAATGGTTTAAACTTCCTTTTGCAGGAGAAACTGAATGGATGACAAATCCCAGTCACCCACAAAGAAATCCTGTTTTTCATTCTTGTTTTCAATCGATTTTTATTGGTTAAGTCTGCATTTATTACCGTACAAAATGTTTATTTTTGTAAATTATTTATCAAATAGAAGGAGGTGTCGAAGGATAGACGAAAATTTTAAATGTCCTACTAAATCGTTTCAGGATTGTTTGTTCAATCAGAAATCTGTATTATCAAAGCTTATTTCACTAAGCGAGTACGATGAATAAAGCCATTCCATGTGATTGTGATACATTTTAAATAACTACTCTGGTAATGTTCTTCATGTTGGTGGAAATTGACTTTTTTTTATCATTAGGTTTTTCTAATTCTTTTCCCCTTTTCCTTTTGTTGAGAGACTGCAGTAGTTGATTTCGTAGTTGATAATGGAGTACCTATCAGTATCATGGATGTTTTAATCAACATTTTTTCTCTATTAGAATTCCTAGATCTCTTTTTTCTATCTCTCAAAACTGAAGCTTTGACTCTATTTTAAAAAGTTGTGGTTAGTACATAACAGGATTATTTTAATTGAGTTTTTGGAAGTTGATGACACGGATAAAGCAAATTTTTGCATTCAAAAGTGAGCAACATTATTTAATGATTTTGTACCTTGAAGGTAGAAGAGAGTTGGAGTTAATTCTTTGCCTTGAGCCTGAGTTAGTGGCTACGTCACAGTATTATATTGCAGTTTCGATAATTCAAATGTAAACAGACACCCAACGTTTTCATATTCAGGCCATAGTAGGAAAATTTGGACAGGTGTTCCTTGCAATCAGAAATTTTTGTGTAAGATGCGTCGATAATTGCTTTGCTTCGAGTCAATGAAAAACTTAATGAATTTATACAATTATTTTGCACAGAATTTTAATCGGAAATTATGTTTTTTTTTTTTTTTTTTTTTTTTTTTTTTTTTTTTTTTTGAGCCATTGAAAATTATTGCTAATCGATTTGTCAAATATCGCAAGAATTACACAGCCCTTAAATCAGTCTGTTAGTAGCATCAGCTTGGTTTTTCTTACTAGTTGCACTAGTTCAGTTTTATATACCTTTGTCCCAACACCTGATGGCAATTTATTTTATCATTTGCAAAAATTGGACCCTCCTCCAAAGTGTGAACTTAACTATATTGTAAGAGAATAACAAAATTTTAGAATATTACACTTTCTTGTTTCAAGGAGGAGCCTTCTTTCATCCTAATTCTATGAAGGCAGCTTGAAATAAGAAAGTGTATTCTTTATGACAGTGAGTATTTGTGTCAAGTCTTTCAAACTTTTGAATTTCTCTGCAAAGTATTTTTAGCGGCAGATTGTTCCTCTGCTTTTGTGCTCTTTCCAAGGAGTTTTCATACAATACCAATGGCAGATTAATGTAAGTCAGTATTATTTTAATGGGCGCTTACGTCTTTATTCCATTTTGTTTCAATTTTAATTTAAGATTAAATTTTTTCCCCCTCCTACCTTGTTCCTAATAAAATCGATAATTCCATCACGAAAAATATTGTCAGAAAAAGTTTTGCATCACTAAAATTTAGTCACTATATTTTGATTCATGATCTATAAGGTGTATAGATCGAACAAGTGTTTCACTTTTTTTCAAAATAAGGAGAGCAGTTTACGAGCTCATTGTAATCCCAGTACTATTTGAGGTCAACAAAAATTACTGATTTTAAAGCAGCAAGACAAATATGAAATTTTATTTGAAATATTTCAAATTTTGCCTTTTTCCTAATTATTTTTTTTGGGGGTTGAATATTCTCACAGTAATTTTCGTGTAACACTTTTAAACCATGAATATTCTAATCAAGAAGAATCAAAGTTGTTGTCAATTACTTAAGTTTTGAAAAAAGCGTTCATCTTTTCTTTAATGTAGGTTGATCAGGAAAGTGGTCAGAATTAAAATTTTCCGTCAATTATCTTACGGTATAAGGGTGATTGACCATTGCTTATTGATATGAAATAAAAACTTCTTGTTTCCAACACTTATAAATTTTATGTATAATAGAGTACTTCAGTTTTTGATTATTAAAGAGTAAATTATATGCTAGTGAACATCACATGTGGTCATCAGTGGTGGATTTCAATGCAGCTAATAAATTTTTAACTGTTAAAAAATTATCTTGAATTTTTGTTTTTTAAAAGAAAGATTGAGGAGAAAAAGATGACCGCATGTAAGGAACACATAGTTTTGGAAGTCGCTCTCTTAACTTATTGATCTAAATTTGTTTTTTAAGCCAATACTCAATGGCCACCTGATTGAAAAATTTCCATAATTACCTACCTATTGAATCAGAATCATCTTATGCATTCGTTCAGAATGTCAGTTCCCCTCTTTAAGATGGGCACGCAATTATTGACTTTTTTTTTTTTTTTAAATGGAGTTTGGACTGATAGGTTTGTTGTAGTCAAATCAGCATTGAATTTGACACCAATGTGATTGAAATCCATGGTGACTTAGCACACAAAGGAAAAAAATTAATCAATAGATTTGCTCTAGGCAATGATTCCTGGAACAGAATCACTTGAAATGATCCAGAAAATTTTTGTGAAATGAAGGCTATTGAATTTTCAAGGCTCATTGACAGGTTCCTCAGGTAAATGGACTACAGTAATTTTGCTCGAAAGTGATTCGGTTTTACTATCCCAAATTTCTTTATGATTTTTCATTACAACCTTCTTGCAACCTAGGGTCATAGCTAATTCATTTTTGTAATCTCTCTATTTTGTTGTAAATACTAGTTTCATATTTCGTTTTTCCAAGAGATAAAATGAACTGAATGCCCTTTTGACTACAACAAGTCTAATTTTCAAGCTATCTCTCTTATGTTCAAACGATTTTTTATCATGTAAAGTCCCCGCATTTGAACCCCAAATCATGTAGCCAGAAGTAGGTCTCTAAAAATTTCTGTGACAATTGTTGACTTTTTTAGTTGAGAAAAGATTAATCCTTTTCCAGAAATATTTAGCAAGTAGGTATTTGTACCTATATCAACCATATTAAACGAATGAATTTGGAAACTAACAATTAAAAATAACCAAACACTTGTGAACAAGAAATGTAGCATTTAAATTGAGCTGTTAGCTCTCCAGTTCCTTGTTATTGTTCTCCTGTTTGGATTCATTGATTTTAATAGAAATTGTTCAGCATTTAATTTATTTTATTGGAGGTAGTTTTTAAAAAGGTTGTACGTAATTGCTTGTACGTGAAATGCAATTATGCTGTGCTTTCAGATTCTGAAAAGACAGTGCTCTAAATTTGTTACTTTCAAGTTGTTATTTATATGTATAAAGTCGAGTATTTAAAAATTATTTTTTATCTGTATCATTTAAAATAAATAAAGACAATGTTTATCTTATTTTATTTAAAAGTTCACGAATTTCAATTTTTTCCATCGACCTTTCTTACGCTCATGTTTAATTTAAGCCAAGTCACAAATTCATAAAAAAAAAAAAAAAAAAAACCGGAGGCAAGTTTCCATAGTTTGAACCGTAATGATGAGCTCGCACTTTCAAGCTTTTTTCACGCAGCACATTTCATTTAATGGTCTATTGACTAGTCTTTTGAAAGAGTACCATGTTTCTTTGCAAGTAATTAAACATTTCTAGAAGTTGAGAGGATCAAACTGGATGGGCATGATTGAGGAAATGTTTGCAGAAATTAGTAACATGAATAAACATTTATTAAAACAAAAAAGAAGAGTACATAGTAAAGAAGGTTACAATGACACCTTAACACTATACATGTAACAGCTTATACATAACATGTGTTAAAAAACCTAAGACTCCCATTAATCTGCCCTACCCTAAGGGACTTCTCATCACAAAGCACCTTAAGATTAAAAAAAAACCCTAAGACCTTTCCATAAAAGGCTGACAACAGTCAGTAAGTTAATTTCGATTAAATGCTTTAAATTTTTTCAAAGAATGACTTTCATCAATGACGAGGACAAGATCCTAATAAAATGTACCTTGTAATTTGGCAACAAATTTTTCAAGAAGGAGCCCCTTCAAAAAAATCATTTTTAAGATACGATACTAGAATTCATCCAAGAAAACAAACAAAATTTTAAAATCTAATGTTACCAGATAAAATAATTCTCTTGCTCTTACTTCTGTGATATATGAAGAAACTGACCACTCCAAACTTTGATTGGATATTACGGAAAATACTCAAACTAAAAGAAGGCAGGAGAAGGGCGCAAAATCATATCAAAGATATAGATAAATCACAAATACAATACGACAAACAGAGAATAAGAGCGTATGAGATCAATCTGCTATCACTAGCCAAACTTCCTTGCTGTTCAGAGACATATTTTGACATCATGTACATGAGATCCATCATACAACTGCGATAAAGTGTATGCAAGTGAATTTCGACGATAGAAGTCATTTCTAACAATGGCGCACTTTCTTTTGGTTCATGCACCAACCTCATTGTACTACTTGTAGAGAATTCTTTTTCCTAACTCCTGATGAGCAGACCTTGAACTTCCATCAAACTGATGTCTCCTCTTTTCTGAAGCTTTATCTCTTCAACGCCAAATACCCAAGTAGCGCAGTGCAATAAGAATATTGAACTAATTTTGCAATTTGATTCAATAAAATTGAAGTTTATTTTTTATGAAATTGCAATATATTTACATCATTCGGTCAAAGAATGCCGATTTTGAACGATCAATAAAATGAGCTCCATGTCGTATGTGTGAGAAAGGTGTGCAATTAGTAGCAGGGACAAAAATTAGAACTTATTTCAATTTAATTGAAATAAGGTTCGATAGGAGGAGCCTCTTCAGTCAGTGAATTGACAACACACAACACTCTAACACAATAGCAATAATTTTACCATGCGATGAAGTTTTACATCAAACCTCCCCTTAAAAAACTTCAAATTACGGACATGAATGTTAACTCCTCTGTAATCAAACTCTTTAATGAGTTACTGTTCCCTCTCTGTAGAGTAAATAATTGATCCTCAACTCAAAACTGCATACCTAAGCCTAGTTTTGATGTCTGTTAATTAATTTTTATGTGATCGCTACTGATTGCTTGATTATTGTGCTGAAGTATTATATGTATTTTAACGACCTGCATTTTGACTTGCACAATAACACTGGGTGAAAGATGGCTCATGTGCAAAAAGTGAAAATGAAAAAAAAAAAAAAAATTACAATTTATTGCAACCTGTGCTACTTGGGTGCATCACACATACCTAGAGAAAGTTATGTGATAGGAAACATTTTCTGTTGAAGTTCATCACACAGATTGGAGATTTTATGTCTCATTTGAACATCTGTTTAAAAAACTGAACATCAAAAGGAGATAGTTTTCTAAAAGTTATTTGAGCTTGAAAACACTTAAGCTTATTTTTTAAGTAAAATTCAAGTTTTGGCGCGAGCTCAGAGAGAGATGACTTTGACAATCAAATAGCATATCTTAATTAGCATTATCTAGAGCTCAGCTTGTATTCGCCACTCGTTTGCAAGATTCATAAATTGGAAACTTTTTGACCAACAGTTTGGCTTTCATAAGAGGCTTGGGAAATAAGTTCACCTCTCTCTTCACACAAAAAGATTCACTAAAAATATTTTGAAACGCAAAAAAAATTAGTGCTGTTCCAGAAAATAATTCCTTTAACTTAAAATTGTTCACTCAAAGGTATGAGAGTTTGCCTACAACTAGATTCAGTCTATAAAATAAATAGAGATGATCATCCATTCTTTTTCATTTCCAGTTCTGATAATACAACTACAAAATGAGCTTTTATAATTGTAGGAATCGGGTTTAGTGTGAGAATGTGCCCAGTAATAAAGCTCATAAGAAATATTGTTTTTCTTTACTGCATAGGATAATTGCTAGACAGACACAAGGTCTGCTAAGCGAAACCTGCTTGAAAAAGAACGGACAAGAACTCTTTTAACGCTGATAGCAGATCCCTAAGTTCACTTAATGGTCAGATAAAATGGTTTTTCCTTTGCTTAATTTCAAAATATGCTGGTTTTAATTGCGATTCAAGCCTATTGATAAAAGGGTGTGCTAAAAACTGGTGGTATGATGTGCTGCATATGTACATACCTAATGATATCTGCCTAAAGGACAAACAGTTGAAGGTTGTACCAGAGTAAAAATAATGAAATATTCTGGATTAATTTCAGTAATAAAGAAAGAAAAATGTTCTAAGAACTTGAAGGATTCTTTTTTGGATCCATGAATTCAAAAATCATGAACATTGATTTAGGTCCAAACTAAAACTTCCATCTAGATATGGGTTGTCTCTTCCCAGAATCTTTTCTCAAAAAGTTTATTCCTTTCTCGTGTGATCAAAATCAATACCTACTGCCTACTTTTTCCTGCTCCTGAAAATGGAAGCTAGCTCTGTGATTGGACAGCATTCTCTTTTTTAATACCAGACTTGCAAGAATTTAACAAGGGATTTGATTTTGATAGTACTGGATCATGTCATAAGCTCTAGTTCTGAAGTTAAGGAAAGAGTTCCGAACGACTGATAACATAAAGGCAGCTGCCTCTTTATCGGAGGCTTGTGGAGCGAATCTAGCTCGAAGCAACTTGATGGTTTGACCTCGAAAACAGGGGAGTCCAGTATCCAGCATCAAGGATACTAGTGATATAATGGTTTCTTGGTACGGCCTAATTGCAAGGAAAGCATGAACACACAGTTCCATAAACCACCGGAAGGGTTCAGCCTCCATTTTGCCACCCATGATCATCACCATTTCATCGGTCAGTTTGATATCCGGCTCAAAACCTAAATTGCCTCCAGGAGACGATTCAAACATGAAACCAAAATCAATGTGAATGATGTGACCACTAGTGTCCAACATGATATTACCATTGTGACGATCCTTGATCTGCAGAAGGAATCCTATGACACTGTATGCAGCCATTGAGCGGATGAAGTTTCGCCTAGCATTCTGGAATTCTTTGGTGGTCTCATCTCCATACATTTTCAGAAAATATTCATACATTCCAATATCAGTTTGTCTTCCCAGCTGATCTCTTGATTTTGCATCAGGGACACACTCAATAACGCCGCATCCAGGAGCGGTGGCAACAACACGGTAAGGAAATAAGAACAGATCAAGGCCCACTTGCTGGAAAATGCGTTTAAAAATTCCAATCACTTGCAACGCTAACATATCTTGTCGGACATCATCTCCAACTTTGAATATGGCTGCCTGCCAAGTCTCGTTACCTTGAAATGAGATTTTTCTCCGGGAAACTTCCATCTCTTTCTCCTCCTGCTCTTGCTTTTCTTCATCAGGTGTAGAGATGGAAAGGGCCATGGCCTCTAGTTCAACAATGCCGCAGCGGCGTACTCTGAACCGTGCCAAAAATGGCGCTTTGGCAGCACTTTGCATGGGTGTTCCGCTTTTATAATCAATATCTAAAACTACAGCTTCTGGGTTTGAAGGTAAATAGCAGCCTGGCTGAACTTTCACTTTACTCAAACATTCTAAACAAGCTCTTTTCCTCTCAGGCCCTTTGGGATATGGTCGAATCAACCCAGAAATTTCAGTAATTTGATCAAAGAAGCTGAATTCTCTTTCATAGAAATCTTTCGCTGGTCCAGACAATGAGTCGGTAATTGCATTAATTAAACTGTCAAGTGTGTCGTAAAGAGTAAGATCTTTCAGCTGCATTTCTTCATCAAGATACATGTTGGTTTTCATGTTCCAAATCAGCTGATGCCCAACAACTGGGGAACGCTTTGCAATGGATTTTATAAACTCTATGATATAACCCATGGTATCATGCCGCAGGGTTTGAACTAGTTGGGGAATGTAAAATAGAACTGCATCTGGCGGGTAGCTGGAGAGAACTCTAACAGCATATTGAGCTGTGATCGGATGTGGAGGATACTGCCGTGAGAAATACGATAAGGCTTGGACAGGAGAAACGTGAGCCCAGGTTAGCATGTGCGTTAACTCAGGGGCATCGTTCAACAACATTTCAGTGGTTACTAAATACTGTAATGCATGCGGAATGTGACACACAGCAGTTGGATTTAATCTAACTAGCCTTGAAACTTCTTTGATGATACTTTCAGAATTCTTGAGCCTTGCTGGTAAAAATACCGCTAATGATGGGCTAATATCCCATGCAAGCCGGGTAACTTCTCTTAAAGTTTTATCTGAGACAGGTTTATTCTTCCATGTGGCAATGACATCTTCTCCTTGAATACTAATCTCTGATCTACAAAGAGGATTGAGCCACGTTAAGAGAAATTCTATTTGCACAGCGACAAGATCTAAAATTAAGTTACGTTTTTTAATGTAGTCTTTGACAAACAATTCATTGTTTCTACTCCTAATTTTGCCTCTTATTCCGGACTTTTTACCCAAAGTAGATGACGAAGAGGAAAATGGTACAGTATTAATCCAACCTTGATTGCTTCCAGAACCCCCACCTCCGACAGAGCTTGCTCGCAGCTTATCAAGAGACGTTATTGTTAACTGCGGGTTGTAAATAGGTGGGGATTGTAGCTCAGCTGCCTCTTCAATAGTGCTCGCAAAGAGGTATTTTTTGTCTGAATGCATCGTTTGAAAGAATTTTATCATGACTGCGATATCCTCTCGTAGCTCACTCCCTTTCTTTACAGGACACTGCACTTGACTGCAATAAAAGTTCAGAGCAGTGCAATAGATTCGTTCACGCAAAACATTTTTGCTGAGAGAGCGAGGCAAAAAGTCACCTTGAAGTAAGGACAGTCCACAGTGAAGAAATCGGAAATAAACTCCAATTGCTGAGATGTGAGTGCTGAGAAGGCTATTGGAATAAGAAACTGACATGGGTAAGGATCGGTGGAACATATTAGCCAGCATTTCTACCTTTTCTTGGCTGCAATACTTAGCAGTTTCCACTAACTCTGAGATAAACTTTACCCAAATATCATGTGGTTTTACAAATGGAGGCCTTGGTTCCAACGTGACATTCTCGGAGACAGCGAGTGGACTCTCTTCCTCCTCATGAACAGAGAACATTCCCAATCTTTTATCAACAGTGTACTGCCAAGCAGCAAACATTTCTTGTAAAAACTGCAAATCGATGTCTTGACGAGCAGTAATTAGCCACTGCCAACATTCAACTGCAGAAGTTACAGAGGGTTCTGTGAAAAATTCTACCTGAGACCATGCAACAACATTCAATAGTTTTCTTGGTGGTTTTGGAGTGTTTATTAGTAGCGCAGTGGCTGACCATAGGGCTTTGCGATAAGCACTGGAGGAGTTGTCTTTACAAGCAGTCCAAACATTATTAACGATTGAATCAATTACATCATCAAGTTTACTTCCAGCTAGGATTCCGGCTATTTGTCCAGCAAAGTGGCTTCTCATGTGCAACGATGAAATAAAGCGAGAGGAGTCTGTCTTAACACAAGTTGGTCGCCTGCTAAGTGTGTCTGTCGAAAGAGCCATTGACTGCAAATTGAGTCCTTCAAACTGAAGGACACTTTCCGTTGCTAGAGCTAAGCCTGAATGATGCCACAGACCAGAGCTCGAGATGTGACTAAGGTAGTCTTGGAGGTGAGACCGTGTGGCTTGAGGTGCCCATTTCATTGCTTCTTGAACAATGCCAAGGCAACGAGCGGCAAAATCTTTTACAATACCTTCTCTAGCATCTAATGTGTCCATTAAAGGAATGTTGTACGGTGTAGAGGGCACTTGCAAGGTGGGCATTTCTTCATTAGCATCAAGTTCTAAGGAATATGACAAAACTTGAAGGATATCCAACATGCTCCAAAGGACATGACAGTTCCACAGCAAATGCGGGAATCTATCAACTAGACCAGACAACCATCTATCAGCCACTCGACGAATTTGTTTGTGTGTGTGATTGAAACTTACAAGGAGGAACTGTGCATGACTCTCAAGTTCATTCTCCCGATTGATGTCTTTGGGCTTGGCTGACATTGCGTCCATAAAGAGAGAGAATACTCTGTCACCGATACAACAGACACACTGCCACATTCCTGATTTATCTTTCTGGATTGCATAGTCAACTAAATACTCAAAAATTATCAGCAGACTTGGCTCAGGTGAATGTTTCACTCGGAGCGTTTCAAGCCAGTAGACTGATAAAAGATATGTACACTGGGCAAAAGATAGTTTATTGACACATGCAACAACATCAGGCGGTGGCAATTCCAACAGCTGGACAATTTGCGCTCTCAATTCGTTCAATTCATTTGCTGATACACTATCATTTCTAACCGCTGCAGTGTATTGTAATTCTCTAAGTTCAGACCTGGATGAGGTTTGTGAGACTAGATATGGAGACTTGGTCGCAATTTCTTTGACACCATCATACCACTCACTAGGCCATAATCCTGACTCGCTTGTAAAGCCCATGATGACACTGTACAACCAAAAGTCTCTAAATAATTTGAGAAGGCGAGGCTTCGGCTGTCTAATGATTGGGAGTCTTCGCATTAAAATTGCTATAACCGGAATCAACATACCAAGATTCCCGGCACTACTAGAAGCTTTGTTGGCGGCGGGAGCTTTCTCTGACGCTCTTTTGCCTTCTAAGCCCAGCTGAACAAACAACTCCAATAAACGTACGAGTAGTTCATTCATTTCTTGCTCACCTTCAATGTTTGTTGCGATGTTGGCCAAGGCATTGATGACTGCTCCGGAGACGTGTCTGTACTGATTTCCGCGATCTTTGCTGTAAGCTGCATTACTGGACTCAACGGTGATCATCACGAACATTCTCATGATTTCCTCATAGATGTTTGGCTCACACTTTGCTATGATCATACATCCCAACTGATCAACGACTTGAATGTCTACTTGAGGAGGAACTGGAACTCTACAAAATCTCTGTTGGAAAAATTGTAAAACAGTATCAGTGGTTTTTGAGGTATCTTTGAGATTAATTGCTATGTGGCCGAGCATGACAATGGAATTGGACTGGATCAGAGTGGTGTCATTTTCATTGATTTTGGCTGTGAAAAGTCTATTAGACAGTGATGCAACTAAGGCTGGAATACAACTTTCGTCAATAGAGTGTGCAGCTCTCAATGCCACACATAAGTTATCAATTGCTGCATCTCGTAAATGCTCAAAGTAGGATTCAATGTGAGAGGAACCAGAGTTTTTAATAGATACTATCAACGATGAGTTGTTGGATAAAGTGTTTTTATCTAGGTGCAGTTTATACAGTCTTGATAAAATAGGGGAAGGGGCAACAAGGAAGTCACGTAAGCAATGAATAGAGGTGTTAGCAATGTTCGGAAATTTTTCGGCTAATTTCCCAAGCCCCTCTAAACAAACAATAAGTAAAGGCATATGAGCAAGAACCAGTTTGACATCATAATTTTTACTAATTTTTTCCATGAGATGACCACAAACACTATCAGCTCCTGTTTCATCTCCTATTGCCCAGACCAGTAAGTCTACGCAGGCTGCGTTCGCCATGACATTTACTTTGAATTTATTAACTGTGCCATAGTTAGTTTCACGGTCTTCTCTTTCAGCAGCATCGTGATTTGATGCTTGTAATTCAGTTTGACCACTTAAAAATAAACCTTTAACAAAGTCCTGAACATCTTTAATGAATGGCTGAGGTAACTTACTCTGATGTTTGAGGAACTCACGAAGAACTGTTACCATCACCAGATTCAGAGTTTCACTAAAACTACGATAAGTAAATGCATACGAGGATTTACATGAATACACTTCTAAGGCAATACTATCTAGAGACAAAAGAAGTTCAGAGGTTAACAAAGTTTTTGCAATGCCTAAAATTGTTTTCAGATCATTAACAGTGAATAAATAAACTTGCGGAGGAATTTTAGATTTATATTCAAGGTTTTCTTGATTACTCAGATGCAAAAATTGATTGAAATTTGTTCCAAACTTGGTGAATAAAAATATTTCAGCATAAAAGTGATCAAATTCTGAATGTGAACAATTCTGATACAAAGGACCATTTGAACGCTTGGTATCATTTGGCTTGCCATTAACTTCTGTGGTAAAAGTATCTTTGGCAATAGTTATAATAAAACTCCTTGATAAGGAACGTGGAATGATAGAGCGAAAATTGGAAAAACTATTCTTTTTCAGCAGATTAGAGTCGGCCATGGAGGTAGTTGTTACCACTTTTGGAGGCTCTGGGCGGGGAAATAGCCGGCACAGTAGTGGTGGGCTAATGGTTGGGTAGCAGCCTAAAGACCTTATGATACCAATTAAACAAGGGACGGTTGCTCTGCAAAGAGAAATCTTTGTGGCTTCATTGTTAGGATCTTTACTGCTTGTTTGAATCATTGATATCAAGCGATTAATACATTTTAGCTGAGCCTCTATAATTTCTTGGTGAAAGTCTTTTCGTTTCCATGCAATATCACACAGCAACGTGCTGAGAATGAAAGAAAAGCGCTCTGAGATGGGTGCATTTTTACCGTGAGAGCAGTTATCATCGTCAGTCCAAACAGCACGACTTAAGCCATCAAAGAGTTTCAGCAAATACGATAATATTTTCTCAGAATGCTGCAAGTCCGACTCAAGAAAATAAATTCCAAGAGCCGTAATGGCGTCCTGCGCTCGTTGATCCAAGCGGAATACATTTTGAGTGGTTTCTTGTGGGCACAATGAAAAGAGCGTGTTGATTTGTTCCCATTTTGAATTCTTCACCGCTGCTAGAGACCTGGCAAGATGAAGAACAGTTTTCCGAAAAAAGCACTTATCTTCAACCACCATTATGATGGTGATGGTAGGTCCTGCTTGAAATATTTAAATGGAAATTAACTGGAATAATAGTACATCTTTGAACAGTGAAAGGGGATCAAAGATAAAATCAGATCCCCGAAACATTTCATCATTGGAAGTTAAAAAAGTCTAGAACCTGCGGTTACTTTCCACTATTCACGACACTTGAAACTTGTTTTGATAAAACATGTAATTGTTAGTGTAAAAATGGTACATTATCAACAAAACAGTCGCATAAAATTAGAAAATTGTTCATCCCTGGACATGGACAACTTGAATAATCCAAAACCAAAACTAACCTCAAAGTTACGCCATCGATTTATTTACATTTGAAGGCCGTCAAGGAGTGGGAAGGGGCAGGGGGGATGTGCCGATAAGAGGGGAGGAGGAGAAGAGGAAAGAGATATCTCAAATCAGTAAATCTCAACTCAAATTATTTCTGTTGGCAAGTGACATCAATTGTATTTTAGTGATAAAAGCCTCTAATTTTGATCTGATTCGCGCAGAATTTAAATGTTCATTATTTCTTTTTGTAATGATGATCTTAATTGGCACCACTCCATTATATAAGTGTGAATACTGTAGGTATTAATCTTATTGCTTGTTAACCTCAAGATGTCCAGGTATAAGTATTCGTTATCGTTTTGCAGTGTAATTTATCAATAATTTCAAGGAGCTAAATACTCTTAATGCAGAGTAATGGCCCACAGTCGTTGTTCGCCTCTGGAATTTATTCAGAATTCATTTTCCCCAATTGTTGCGGTAATTTGCAGCCCCTCTGTGGATCATATCTGCCAAAAAAACAATCTGGGATTCATCGAGTTACTGCAACCATTCTGCCGTCTAACTTCTGAAGGTACTGTATTAACAATTAATAATTCTATTGCTTCAATGAACTAACATGAAATTTTTTGTCCCAGTAGTACCATCATATGTGTTGATGTTTCAGAAAAATATTAAAACCAACCTAGCTGACAAAGATCCTGCGAGATGAATCGGATACATACCATAAATTATCAAAGAAGTAGCGCCAAGTTTTGAAATTACTCCTGTGCATTAATGAATGTTGGAAGCACTCAGTTGAATTTACAAAATTTCTCAAAAGGCTGAAGTGTATGCAAGTGTAACTAAGCATGATTGCTACGGAGTTACTTAATATTTGTTGTCACGCTCAGTTAGTTCAAAGAGCAAAATATTTCTTCAAACTTTATCTTCCTTGGTTTTCTTCAGCTGTCAAGGTTGTTCAAAGGAATTCCAAAGGTATGATAATGGGAAACTCTGTAATGTTAATGCTGATGAATTTGGGCTAAGGCCCATTTTACACGGTTCAACTTTTTTTCAATTTTGTCCAATGAAAAGTCGGATTGTGCGATACTGACATGAGAGCACAGCAATTGGAAGAAAAGATGAACTAAGTGAATTGAGCTCTAGTAGGTGGCTCATCTTTTAAATGGTCACTCACTTTTAAAATAACTCAAGCCCTAAGGCAATTTCCGAAGAAAATAATTTTGTCTAGTAATAATATTTTTGTTTTAGTGAAACTCAAAGAACCATCAGGCAGTCTCATCTCTGTGAAGAATCTCCGAGTTGCTTTTGTGGATGTAAATACAAGACCCCCTCAACCAACACTTGCTCGTAAATTTCTGAATGAGTCAGTCAGTTCGCTTTGTGATGAAAAACAAACTAGACTTGAAATAGGTTAGTGCACCTTTAATGCTTTATTTCTAGATAAGAAACAAGGTGGAGAAATGGTGCTGGGTCCACACCATTTTGCGGGGAAATCAAAGCCAAGAATTTCCAAAAATTATAATTAGAGATCAATTTTTTTAGCTCTAATGAGTAATTCATTTTTTTGGGTTTTCCTCGTTTTGTTATGATAGTTGTTCAGCAGCGATGGTAGATAGCGCGAGGATCACACTTTTGCGTCATGCCTCGGGTCATATCCATGACAGTTATTAATGCTGTCTTGGATTTTGTGGCATGTTAAGTTGGGTCCACTAACGAGTGTGATCTGCTGATTAGGTCTGAAAACGCCCAAACTGGTATAGATCTCTCGGCGTGACTCCAACTTAATATTCCGATGCAAACTGCCTGAGCTTAACTCTTTCCGCCCCTCAGTTTTGTACTGTAACTCATTAGAGTTAAAAAAGTTTATTTTTGACTCTAATTATACTTAATTTTTGGAAATTCTTGGCTTTGATTTCCCAGCGAAATGGTGTGGACCCAGCACCATGTCTCCACCTTGTTACATACAGTTCGGGCCACTTCAAAGTGTTTTTTTTTTTTCTCTCATTTCAAGGTAAGTATCATGCTTCCAATTACTAGAGGTGAAATTATGACTGCACCAATTAAGAGAAGAATCAGAGTTGGGAGGAGCTGTCTTAGGGAATCTGAAATCTCAATTCTAAAACACTATTTGCTGACAAACTTTTAATCACTTTCATGAAGTCCTCAATGTCTTTTCAATACTGTCAATGAATATCAATCAATAAGTACCTCATCTCTCACTGCCCAAACATCAGTATTTCCAATTTTTTGTATTATAAGGGAATGGCTGTAAAAGAAAGAATACCAACTGCATTTTTATGATCTTCCTAATTATCTGCAGATCAAATCAGAATAACTCAAAACATATGAAATTCACGTTAGCCAAGTGCTGGATGTATCAGGGATATGAATAAAAAAAGAACCAACTGGGTGTCTAACTTGAAAATGGCTGGACTGAGGAACCTTACACCTCAATCTTGTTTTTCAAAATACCCTCTGTCATTTACCTTCAAGATGAGAACAAAACAAACAAGTTAACTGCATGACCATGCTTGAATTTAAAGAGCAGGCAACAGAGGCAGTTGCTTACTTACAGTAGCAAATTCTGTTGGGGAAAAAACAATTTTTAGAATATTTTTAAAAGTAACAGCCTTGCAGGTGAGATTGAGGATAAGTAGGTCTAAATTTTCTGAGATGGATATTTTGAATTTTTTTTTTTTTTTTTTAATGGAATTTTTTTGAAACTTTGTCAAGATAGCGCCCCCCTCCCCCTCTACTCTCCACATGGTACATAATTTCTCTTGCCAGAATTATGACGGGGGTAGAAAATTCTACTTGCCTCTGGGTGGCAAAAAGTCAAACCCAGGGATGTGAATCACTTTAAATTTTTCAGAAAATTCTCTAAACAGAGAAGAAAAATTTTGGAAATTCTCAATCCTTAAATCTTATTGATCATTTTACCAAGTGAAGTACCTATGAAATATGATGGGAAGTCTGCAGTGTCGCAAACTGAGGTACATTGCTTCCAAGTGTAGCCATAAACTCCAGCTTCTATTGTCTAAAAGGAATTTTTCTCTTGTTCCAGGAAATATTGTTGTTGATGTCCCCTTGTCAGTCCCTTGGTTTGACTCATGGCGAGAAACATTCCTACAAGTTCAATCGCCCTCAGATCATGAGTTCACTAAGCACAACATAGCTTGCATGTTCGTCACATCAACTCTTGAGCCTAATCCAAAAGACAGCTTAATTTATCTAAGCCAGCAAATCCAGCAAACATTGAGCGTCTCCTCAAACAAGCTGCCAAAATGGTTTTGTCCATCTATTTTGAGGTATTATGTCCTTGTCCACGAACCGCTGGCTGGAGAGCAAGCTGTTGCAGAAGCAGTATTCGAAACAATGAAACAGTCTTACGGACCAAATCATTGTTTCTTCCTTCCAATTAATTCTCGGCCACCAGGCGGTAATACTGTTCCAATACCGGATCTATGGAGTCCATACTTATCAAACAGTGCAGATCTGCATAATACAAGTAGTTCTAGTGATTCTGGCCCTAGTGATGTAATTAGTGTCTCCTCGGATTTTAGTCAAACAAGCAGCAGCAATAGCACACCTGCATTTGTGCAAAATTCAGATGGGAAAGATTCCTCTGTCATATTGCACCCTCTCAGTCCACTATCTGAGGATCAAAAATTTCCAAGGCCTGCCAGTGGTAAAAGTGTTGTAGATGGGAATTCAAAAATGATTAATCCAAATGTATGGTCGAATGAAGCTCTCCTTTATAAGCAATATGGTGCATACCTCACCGCCCACGACATCGATCGGATAAAGCTCCTTGTCAGTGAATTCATTGGAAAGGCGCTTATCCCTTACGTCGAGTCCCAAATTCAAAGTTTACATGATATTGTTGCCAATAAAAAGGGAGTGAGTAGATCTTTACTGAGCGCAACAAAAAGATGGTTTGGTGCCAGTAAACCAGGGACCCCAGCTGCGAGTGTTCCTGCAACTTCAACCATGTATAGTAGCGATGCTCCAGAACTCCAGTCTCGTAGACTCGCTGATCTTTACTTCATGTTCGGAGCTTATGCATTAGCGTACCAGACTTATCATGCTGCTAAGCGAGACTTTAATGCTGATGGTGCCTGGTTATTCTACGCAGGAGCTCTGGAAATGGCAGCTCTTTCTGCATTTATCATGGGGACAGATCTGCGCAAAGCGCTAGAATATTCAGAAGAAAGTATAACAACGTATCTCAACTCGTGTGGGTAAGTGCTTTTTTTTAATTTTTGGGAATGGAACCTTCCATTTTGTAATGGGTACTGTGTGGTTTAATGCTCATTAGATGGAGGTAAGTTTGCTTGCCACAGCAGCTGTTTGCCTAAACCTTGCGTCATTGTTTTATGACATCTCTAAGCTTGATAGTAGATAGCCAGGAGGCTGCGCTCTACTGATGATAGACCCAATTAGGTTCGAAACACATCAGTAAGTTGCAGTCCTGATTGGTTGTAATGAGTGTTGTGATTTTTCATCGACTTGGTAGAACTTTTGTTTAAGAGTAAGTTGCTTGCTTGAGCAAATATTATGAAAAGATCCTTTCTAAAATATTTCTTTCATTTAAAACTGAGGAAATCAGGCTTTCGAACCATGCCAATCAGCTGAACCATCAAAAGTTACCGCGTTTTCAGAATCAAGTATAAAGATGGCCATTATCTTATTTTTCTTTCATGAGAAATTATCACGCTCTGTTATAGGCTACCACAATTTGCCACCCGAGCCACTCTTTTCACCTCTGAGTGTCTCAAAGAAAAAGGCATGTACTGTGAGGCAGCAAAACAACTGATTCGTATGACAAGTGAAGATTCAGATCTGCGAAGTGCTCTGCTTTTGGAGCAAGCGTCATATTGTTACTTACACTCTAGGAAGCCCCGAATGCCGCGAAAGTATGCATTTAACCTTGTCCTAGCAGGGCATAGATTCAATAAAGCTGGCCAGAAGAAGCATACCTTGAGATGTTACAATCAGGCTCATCAGGTATAAAAAAATAAAATGCACTATTTTTATCTTTTTATTTTTCTTCAACTATTTCTCTTTGTTCTCTTTACTTTTTTAAAACACTTTCATAATGCATCAAAACATGAAATTATTCTCTCCCTTTTTCTCTCAAAATTCAACTCAAGTAAACAGATGATAATAATGTTTGATTTAAGCTTTCTCCAAACTGAACCAAGGGCTGCAGCCCGATTGTTGAAATTTATGTCGGCACAACAAGAATCGAAAATAGATATATTACACGGTGCAGACAGGGCTATGTCTTGTCTTATCGTGCTGACATAGCCAGTTAAAGTTTCAACAATCCGGCTGCTGGTCTCTGTGGACTTAATGTTCGATCTTAAGTTAACCTTGATCGCCTAATAATTTTATATAATATTCTTACCTAAAAAAATGCCAAGGAAACAAAAATTTGAATTGAGGAAAAATTTAGCCAAAAAGTTTAAAAGTGAAAGTTTCCTCCCACTTATTTTCACTTTCTTCGCCAAGTTAATCTCAATTCCTTTAATGCAAAGATCGTACCTGCTCGGTTAGGAATATCCATAACTGTACTCAAATTTAAGGATTATCTAGTCAAGTAAGGAGAATGCCAATAGCAGAATCTTCAAATTTTAAAATTATTTTCATCAATGTATTGTGAAACATTTCGTTCATATCTCATCTCATCTTCAATATCCTCTTATCAGAGAGATCAAAATCTAAAGGGAAAAATGTTTGGCGTATTATCAATCCCCAAGATATTACATATCATTTATTATATGTAATATAAATCAAATCAAATTTATCAAATAACAGATTTCAAATCAACTATCAAATTATAATAATCTTTTATATTATTTAAAAATATTATGAATTAATTATTTTGAATTTAAATTTAAATTTTCACAGGTGTATCAAGGGAAAGAATGGAGCCTAGCTGAAGATCATATACATCTCATGATTGGGCGACAAGCTGCTTCTTTGCAACAAATTCAAGACTCCGCTGCAGCTTTTTCAAGATTGCTCTCCCGTTCTAGTCGACAAGTGCCTGCACAACAAGCTTTAAACTTAAAAGAATATTTGATTATTCAGCAAGTATGAAATTCTTACAGCCTCTATTGCTTTAGTACTGATATAAGTAGAGGCCACTTAGGAAAGAATAGGCAGGTCATGAAATTCAGCCCTGAAAAAAATGATTTCCAAAGATAAGAAAACAACTGAAATTTTCTGTTTTGAAACCTAATTAAGTACAAATCAATAATTTTTCACTGACTACAGTAGAACCTTGATTCCTCAGGGTATTAGTCAATGGATCAATGCTAGACCTATGAGATCAATGTAAAAGTAGTTTGACCCAAAACAGATGGAAATCGCAACCCAATTTTATCCAACCAGCCATATTTCTCTTTCTCTTATTTGAATTGTGTGTTGCAAAAACAGATAAGTCCATTTTTCTAGCTTTCAGTTTTTTGTGTTAATGATACTTTTCATGGGTTGATACAATCGTGAATGTAGTGCAGACTTATCTTGGGATTAAGACAACCCCTAAACGAACATTGACACCACTTTCATGGTTGCATTTAACACCAAAAAGTGTTATCATCCCAAAAAACTCAAGACTGGAAAAATGTACACTAGCAGTTTTTGTTTAACACGACTCATCTGTAAATGGACAAGATTCTTTCCAATGTGATGACTTGAGGACATTGTAATGAAGAAGTTAAAAAATGATAGTCAGAGGCTGTAATTGAGGCCCTCCAATCTTATTCAAGAAATGCTCCTCAAGCAGCTGCGGCTGAAGTTGCCAAGTTGCGATTCAGAAATCATTTCTGAATTAAAATAATGCTGAAACTACACGGCCAGTAAAGCACACATTGCAAAGTTGCGGAAAGCTGCAGCTCTATACCACATGGTTGACCTGTGTGGCGAATACATGATTCTCTACTTTTTCTGGCTGCCTGAACGGGATGTGCTCAAATGTACCCCTCAGGTTAGCAAAACGTTATCGGCAACTCTGGTTTGTCTGACTCAATGCAAAAAAGCTTGTCGCTAGGACTGAAAAATCTGAGACTTAATGGAAATCATTAATTTTCTAAACAAATCTCCGATCAACTCAAATTGCTGTTCAATGATACTCCAATTATTAGACTCATCTAACAAAGTTAGTTTGTCTCATCTTTTGTTTGAGCTTTCAAGTATCAAAAATTTTGCTGTTCTTTAGACCAACTTTAACTTGCCGACACCTTTCTTTGGCTCAATGCAATGTATTTAATTGTTGCTTCAAGAGCTTTGCATCATTTTAAATTACTCTAAAATAAATAGTCACAGTCCCTTTTTACAGGACTCATCTTTGATATTATGTTCTCAAATCTCACTGAAAGTATACTTTATTGGTCCTAGCTTTATAGCTATTCTGTCATATTTTTTTTCTTTCTAAGAAGTTAATTTTTTTTGTTGACAGCAATTGAGTGACAATGAGACTGAAGCTCCGATCCTGCCATTACCACTAGTCGATCAGTCCTCCATAGAAGTTTTGCTTGGACCAGACACTCTGTCATCACCAAATAACTCAATGGTCCCTGTAGCTGGTGTTACATTTCATCAAAAGCCAGCCGAAATTTCAAAGTAAGCACCAAGTCCTCCCAGAACTTTTTAGAAACTACACCAAACTACATTTTGGAAAAGATCTTCAAACTTAGACCTTGAAGTAGACCTTCTAAATTAATATAACGTCAATCAACTCAAAAATGTACAAAGAACAGTTGAAGATCAAATCAAACCCAAACCAGTAAGTTTCCTTAGGTAACTCTGCTCAAGTTCAGTTTTAATAAATTCTTTGGAAGGAAACTTTTTTTGAACTAATTCGATTCTCAAAATTGGACAGTGTCAACCAAAATTAGTTGAACTACATTACTATCACCTAATTTCCTCTCATGTTTTTCCCTTCTTTTTTCCTTTTTTGCACAAGAAATGTAAGCTTCAATCCTACAATAATGTACCTCAGAATTTTGTGAATTATCTTTAAAATGTAGGGAAAATTTCCGAAAAATTTCAAGGCTCTTTGTTGCTTAATTTTCCTGTAAGAAAATAAAACGCATGAAGACATCAGATATTGTAAAATGCAGTCAGACTGACTCTAGTTATACCCACCCATATTACAATGTGAAGTGGCATTACAACCAAATTAGTTCAGCTTGATTTAGTTCTTTTATATTCTCATTCTAATTTTATATCTACCAACACTCTTTTCAGATGGTGTAAAGTAGAAGAACAATTAGTAGGCACTGCAACAGGCTCGCTCCCACTAACATTCAAACCAAGCCTTTCGCTTTTATCAGATTCAACAAATAACACAGTTCCTCCAGTTTCAGTATGCAAAGGTAAGGCCAATGTACTCACTGTGTCTCCTCCTCTCCAACTTGTCAACTGCATCTGGAAATGTAATCAATGTATGCCGAAAATTCTTATTCAAGCTATTTGTTACAATTACCTATTGCCCGTGTTCCATTGAAAAATGTATTGGTTTTTGGAGTATTAAGAATAAAGAAATAAAGACCAAAAAAGTTCCCAGAGAAGTCCAAGATAAGTTTTTAAAATCTATTCTGTCACTCGTGATTCCGTGTTGTTGTTAGATCCTAGAAAACTGAATACCTGAAAAATGATAGAAATGTTGGTCAATCAGGAAATCATCAGAGAAGTTAATGCAGTCAGACAAAGAAATTCTTCGATCAATGAAATTTTTTCCTCCTTTTTTAAAATTCTAATTTTTGATTGAATCATCATCATTGCCCTAATATAATGCTTAAATGAATATTTGTTTCAGAACCAATAAATGTAAATATTGGGTTGAAGAATTTATTGCATATTGCCATTCCAATTCAAAAATTAAAATTAATGTGGTCATGCACTCTAAGTGATGGTAGTGTTGTCTCAGATGATGACTCTGTTGCTGAAACTCATTGTCAAGAGTCTATTATTTTAGAGCCGGATTGCACTACACAGGTAAGTTGAAACAAATCAATGGTCATAAGGTATGAGGAAAAACCCTAAACTTATTTTTATCTTCAACTACGTTTTCAAATTTCAAACTGCAGTAACTCTGGTTTGGTTAAAACATTTGGGGATTTTTTGAAGACCCTGTTGCCAAAAAGTTCACCCCTCTTATAACCCTGTGCAGATAAGTATCCACACAAGCAGATGGAAAAGAAAAACTTATCTAAATGGGGATGTTCCAGGATGTTTACCCAAATGCTTCTGTCTTTAGTGGCATCTATATCTCAATTTTTAGTTTTTCAGCGCTGACATCTTTTTTTCTGTGGGCAGCCACTTAACATTAATATAATACCCAAGCCTTGTATCTTAGTTTGATATTTTAAACTTCACGTCGTATGTCATAATTTCAGTGGAAAACTGCTCAACATTAACTCTTGTAAATTTCTGAGGTGTCATTTCTCTGTGTAAAGAATCCTCTGTGCAAATTTTAGGAAATAATATTGATTCATTCTTCATTAAATAAATGAAATTGTCGAGGAGCTTTTGAAGCACTGCAATCAAGGCACTTTGTTCAGGAATTGCACTATTGATGTACAATTGTACAACATAAGCGGCCCTTCAAATAACTCAGAGCAAAGTTCGGAATGATCATGCCGTGTCTCTTTACAGGTGGTACTGCAGGTAAAACCATTGAAACCTGGGTCTCTTCTAATAACGGGTATAAGTTACTGTCTTGCGTCCACCGTCCCTAGTTCACCAACAGAATCTATTACTGTCAGAGGAAGACAATTGCTCAAGCCGAATGGACCGCCAGTGAAACAGACGAAAGATAAAATGCAAGGCCAGCCAATTTTTGCGCCTGATTATCGACTTCAGTTAAATATTCTCGAAAACGCTCCGTGCATACATGTAAGTCTCTACTTACTCTTGTTCAATTTTTCAAGCCATGCAAAGTTAATTGTAATCTGTTTGCATTTTGTCCCAAGTAAAATCCAAAGAAAACATCTCAATTTGGATTAAGTGTGAGATATTTGCCATTGTCCCAATTTAGAGGCTATTTCAATGTTCAAAAAGCAGAGTATTAGAAATTTGTAGAAGTTTCTAGTTATCCCTAAACTTTTACAAGTGGAAAATAAATTATTTTTCACAGAGTTGCTCTGAGCCAAGATAGTCACATGAAAAGGGCGAAGAGCGCAAAACTTTGATTATGGCGTACTTTTCAGAGCTCTTTAACGGCTTAAATTTCAGTCACACCAATAAATGTATAAGAATTTTTTCAGATCAAAATTGTTTGTTCTTCAATTTGGAGGTAAAGATTTTGGTCAAACAAAAAACAAGCACAATTTTTTTAAAAAATGAGATTTTAGGCCATTTTTGCACAATGGTGGCCTTTGACGACAAATAACCATGAGACAAATGTAAAATTTACATTTTAGCGGCCTCCAACTCTTAGGAATCAATGTATGAAAAGTTAGGAACGTTTCTTCTAGAACTCCAGTTTGACTCCTGACTGCCTGGACTAAGTGCAAGAAATCAAGCTTTTAGCTGATTTCAGGAGACTCAGGTAAATTTGTCCAGTGTGCAATGTCAAAACAAAATTATTTATGAAATTTATACTTTGCAGAGGCACAATAAAAAGAAAATTTGATGCTGTACTCCTTTTTAACTGCCTTTTTGAGGTTGCGCCCAAAATGTCAATATCTCTCCGCCCCAAAATTCCTACCGTGACTAAAATCGTGTTGCAGCAGTACCTAGAACCATCTAATTTTGCTCAAATTCGGGGTTATCAAATGTTTAACATAGTGATACAAAAAAACTATCGAACATCAATGATTTAAGAATTTCTTTCGGCTTGCCTCAAATTTGAGATGTCTCTCACTCAAGAGTAGTATCAAGAAGGTGAGTTTTTTACAGAGTCCAAAGATTTTTACCCTTGTCTATAAAAAAAAAAAACAAAAAAAAAAAAAAAAAAAAAAAAAAAAAAAAAAAAAAAAAAATGTCATATTTGTTTGTTTTTGTTTAGGTCTTTATGCTTAGCATATCTTGTGAGCTTCTGTGTGGCGAATTGAGGCATGTATCGGTTTTGATGAAAAACACTGGGAATCTTCCAGTGTCAAGGATTCTCTTTTCGTCACCCACTCCTCAGTTTATTTCATTACATTCCATTCTTCCAAACTCACACTCCAATCCACCACCAGTAAAGCAAAAATTTGAGCCGTGCTTTTCCATTCCAATGGAGCGACCTCTCGAACCCAACGGTGAGCTGAGCTTTGATATGTGGATACGTGCTCCGGAAACGAAAGGAGCATTTTCATTAGATGTCTTGTTTTACTGTGAATACTACCCTTTGGAGAGCAATCAAAAACCTAGGTGAGTGAATCTAATGTACCTAACAAAGCTTAGAACTCAAAAATTGAACAAAATTGAAAAAACGTAATGAATCCAATACAGAAATGCATGCATTTTATTGAACAAAAACAACATTTTATTCCTGAAGACTTTGAATCCCCAAATTTCCTGTGTTCTTAACATTGATCATAACAGCTTTTGCGGGTCGAAGGCTGCACCTCTCAACTATCGCATTGGAACATGATGAGGCCTGGCATCTCTATTTTTAACCAGGAAAAACCTTGGAGAACTGAGGCCCCCGTCTTTCCGTTTATTACGTTTTGCTTAGTTTTCACAAATCTCAAGAAAATCAAAAACGATACGTTCACTCATTTTGTTTAAACATCAACATGTTAATGACAATCGTAATTTTCCCTGGTCTCTGTTAATAGGTACAGGCTTGTAAGACACTCCTGGAATTTGACTGTGTTCGAGTCGTTAAATTTTTCTGTGATCCCTACCAGAAGTTGTCAATCTAGTAAATCAAATGAGCTCATTAACTTTCAACTTCAAGTAAAAAATAATAATCAGGTAAGTTTACTATTTTATAATATCCAATTTTCCATTCCCTTTCCACCCATGATAATCACTTCTTTCAAAGTGAGGCCCCTTTTTTATCCACCAAGGGTGACTAGAGGGCAGGGGGGCCTTGGGATGATGTATTGAGGATTCATTTGGTCGATCCTCTATTTGTTCCTGCTGTCCCAACTTTATTTGACCTAAAACAACAGAGTGAAAAGTCTGATACGGTTTTTCTGGGACACCCTGTATATTAGTCAAGCAATCCTGCAAAATTTTCTGAATGGAGAACTAATTATCAACTATGTGAGATGTCTCAATACTATACGAATTTCCACTCAATCGGTTTTCAGCTTTTGTAAATTCATACCAAACATTAACATGAGTAACTTTTTTCAATTTCATCTTTGGAAATTTAATCTATTTGTATTACATATTTAATTGACAATTTTTTACAATTGAATCTAAATCGGAAAGAAAGGTTCGTATCACAAGTTTGAGGTCCTGCCACTAAAGCTTCCTAAATGAAATTAACTTAACAATTTATATAATGGAAATTGATTTATTCTTCATGACTTTCAAATGATGTAAAAACTCATCCATTAATCGTATCATGTATTATCCCATTTACAGCCTAATGACATCTTGTCAGCTGAAATTGATTTAGTTCAAGTTTCTTTGTTCAGTCCATGTTGGCAACTCTGCGGAAAAGCATTTGTACCTGAGAGTAAGTTTCTTCACACCTTTCATTTCTCTATGTAGCGGTTAGACTTGAGTTGTTGTATCTTTATAAAGGAACAAAACATTTTCAGTATTTTACCATCCAAACAACCAGGAAATTGAATGCAATTGAGGAGAGTCCTGGAAGAAGGATCCATCAAACATTGGCGAATTCGTTTCTCCGATCCAATCGGATCTGGGTAAGCAGAGAGCAATGGTCTCAGCTATCCTGCATTTTGTCCAGATAGCCGCTGCTCGGAGAAATGAGCACACCTGGATTAATGTAGCCCCTTCCTCTGGAACCTCATTTTCTTCTCTTATGAATTGCCTTTGCCGAGTAGATGCTTTTTATGAAGTGCAACGAAAAGTGCTTCAAGACATGATTGCGAGTAAAATCCTATCTTAAGATACAATTACGGTATCAGAGATAAGGGAGTCTTAGGTACTTAACAAATATCCCCTAATTAATAAAATTAAAGTTCTAAAACGTCAACTGAATTCGTTATTTGTCAAGTGAGTTTTAAGAACATTAATCAATGAATTTTAGAAATTGACTCATATTTTTTTTCATCTTGAACAGGACGGAAACACAGTGCCAAAACCTTTTGTGGAAGTTGCTTTGCTGATTTTATTAATATAGTGATACAAATTTTATTTAAGTACCTTTGATTTGTTCCAGAATTAACGCTACAGAGTCAGCAGTCATTGTACTTAGTTTTTCAAGCTACTCGGCCTACAGACAACCAGACTGGTGGAATCTCTTCAGATATCAATCTCTCTAACTCAGATGAGCCCACCTCTCTCCATTCTCCCTTTTTTGATTTCTTGCGCAGATCAATATCACACTCTAGTCAAACTTCCTCTCAAGAAAATAAGAAAGACCTTAACTTTGGGACAACACTAGATGCTGTACTTATTGTAAGATGGAAGGTAAGCTATTGTTTGTTTACCAAAGTGATTGAAAACTGGATGTATTCCTTCTCTTCCCCTAAAATCCAGTCATTTGCTAATTTGAGCACCAGAAAGATCTATCCACGCATGAACGGGTTTTAAATGTTGAGATGGATATTTACATCAAATTTCATGTACCTAGATGTGGTGTTGCCACCTGAAAGAACCAAAATTTAATCTTTTTTTTTTTTTTTTTTGACCTTTGAGCATGGAAGGATCTCATCATTTTATGGCTAAAAATTTTTGTCTGCAAATTACCCATTAAAATGAAAAATATTACCCTTGGTAAAAAATTATCACTAGGTAATGAAAAAAATCATAAAATCTTTTTCTCTGAGATGTAATTTTTCATTTTTTTCCTACTATCTTCAACCACTCAATGTAGATGATTTGATAGAGGAAGAACTCGTACATAACCTACTTCTATATTCAGTACACTGAGAAAATTATCCCAGTTTGTCTAGTATCACTGAAATTCTCACTGAAATCACTTTTGTTCCCAATTTAATTGATGAAGAGTTAAGTTAAGCCAACAGGAGGTTGAATTGACAGACATAAAGGTTACTAATTTCTCACTAATGAGTTGAATTTGGGAATTTTCGTTGTTTGCGGATATATGTGAAATTTTAAGAAGGAAACTTGTCTTAAGATGCTTGGTCTTCAACCTTGTCTAAAGGTCAATCTTTTCAATTCCTCCTTAAAACAGGGTCGTCTAGTGGAGACAGGTGGGAAAAATAGGATCTCAATGGGGCAACATCACCTGCGGATGAAACAATTTGACGTAATGGTGACGTGCCCTCCAATCATAATCCAGCCAAAAACCAAGGAGCCATTGACATTACTTAAGATTTTTGGACCAGATCGAAACTGCGACCATGTCCTAGCTGCAGCAAATCAACAACATGAGCTCGATGCATCAGCCATCCAACAAAAATTGGTCATGTTCACGATCAGTCACCAGCAACTTGTTAATCACAATTTTAATGAGAATAGGTGACTATCCTTAATTATTCATAAGATTTCAAAGTTATAAAATACCAAATCCGTTTTATGTGTTTTAGAAACATATCGCTGCTAAGGCAGTAAAAATTCTGAGTAAAATAGACAATTCTAAGCTATACGTAACAGAAGCCAGAGATAGAGATAGAGCAGTATTGCTTGCTTGCAAAACAAATCTTGTCATAGTTGACTCATGCAGAATATATAATGACAAAAATTACTGTTTTTTTTTCTTTCCTTTTTTGTGCCTGAAAGGAGCAGTCCTCTCAGTAGAACAATTAATGTACAATCATTTAGACTGGCCTGGAAGTCAATGCTATAAGCTATATAATATTACTATAGCCAGTTATTTTTAGAAAATCAGTAATTAAATAGATTTTTTTATCCGCTTTTCCCAATAAAACGTAAGGAATTCATCTCTAAAATGTTGCATTTCGATTTTATAATATGCGCTCAACCTTTTTTTTTTTTTTAATTCATTCTCTTAAAGTATGGAGTGAATTTTTTCATATTTTTTTCAACCCTAAATGGCAAAGAAACCCCTTTCCTAAAATACCAAACATGGGGCCTGTTTGGAACAATATTTTTGGCAGGCTCTGATGACTTGATACTTGATTTGATAAGGCTTGGCCTCAAGCATTGTATTGCCATGTCAACTTGACTGTCGGCCAATGATTGGTCAGATTTTGATTAGCTTTTTCTCCCCTTTGAAATGATTCACTGAACTTTAAAATGAACTTTTCAGTTTTTTCATCAAATTTCACCTAAGAATAGTTACACCATCACCTTCAAAAAAGAATTTCCACCACCCAATTTAAAAAAAATAAGACAAATTAAATGAATTCTATTTTTACTGTACCTTTTGCTTGAATATTTTATTTAATCATTAATTCCTTTGAAATTCAACCATTGTTTTCCTTCCTTTAGGCTGTGTATGGTTCCTGTCAAGATTTCATTGCGTAATTGCTCAGACTCTCAGGTGGATGTGAAAGTCATGGCAGTTCTCCCTCCCTCAAGGTAGGCTTGGAAGTTTTCACTTTTTTAACTTTCTCTCATGCAGTTTGAATGAAGTATACGTCTTAAACGAGATTTGTCTCATTTAAGTATGTAAGGAAAATTAGCCTCACCGCTTTTTCCTTTGCTTGTCCTATTTTGCATCACCGAAAAATGATCATTTCTAAGAAGAATGTAATCATGAGTCAGCTTCAATTACCATTCATTATTACGCAAGCACACCAAATGCCGTGCGGAAGTTCCTCATGCTCAAAACCAGCTCCAGTTCTCTATGGATTATTAATTTGTCTTAAATCAAGGGCCTAACTCAAAAAAGACCATCATTTAACATCATTTTGATCGGTAAAATTTTCTGTTATTATTGATTTCCTAACATATATTCCTCTCAATAAAAATTTTAAGCATTAAACTTTGTACATTTTTGTTTAAAAATGTAATGAAAATAGTTACAGACATGTTGAATTGTTGAAATTATACAAGTTTATTCCAGAGTCTAATCATACGTGTATGCTGGAGACAGTTTTGAGAAGCAAGTTGTAATTCTCAGGTTCAAGACACCTTGAAGTGCCCTTTAATGAAGAATGTGACTTTGAGGAACTCATAAACATGCCTTTAATATTCCTGCACTTTCATATGGATTGCATTTTGCAAAAAGAACCACTAGCATTGCAATGCTGCTAAGATTGTGCAACTTCTTTTGTCTTGGAGGAAAAACCCGATTATCCCTTATTAGTTTCTATTTTACTCGCTAAAAACTGTAAATTTAAGACAAAAATTACCATCTAAATTTCATAGTTTTTCACAATGTCCGCAATTTTATTGCAAAGGATGAAGTTGCACAATCTTAGCATCATTGCAATGCTAGTGGTTCCTTTTTGCAAAATGCAATCCATATCATCTTAAGGTGTAAATCATGATCATTTGACAGAGCCATTGAAAGTCCTCGATTTTAGTTTTGGAGAGCAGACATGAACCCTAATTTTAGTCTGCATATCCATTATCTACCTACTTATGTCTTCTTCCACCAAGAATTAGCCTCTATACCTGTGCAAACATAATCATGCCCCACTCTGGTCTCATTGTTTTCACTTTCTTAAATATTTGATCTGTTTATTCGGTCAAATTAACTAGTCATCATTCTTCATTGCAGACAAAATCCTGTGGCATCAACAGAAGGCTCCTCCTCATTTTTATGGCTAGGACGCACTATTAGAATTATTAGTTTGAAGTCATACGCCCTCTATTCCGTGCAGCTTCTTGCTGCGATTTCATATCCAGGCTCATACAATCTCGGATCTCGCCTGGTAGTCTCCGCCAAGAATGAATTCATGCCAAACCTAGTACCCCAATGCTGGAAATTTGATACTGTTGTAATGGTAAACAATGCATCCTCCTAGCAGGTATTTTATTCTCATAAGGTTTTATTCTTACCGTTTATAAATTTCTAGGAGCCATAATTCTTTCTCTCAAAGTTCTAGCCATTACTCGTGTATTTACTTTCGACTGTTCCTCTTTATATGCCCAGAAGTAATAATCTTTTGTATGCTCATGCAACAGTCGTAATTTTTTAGGAGTTCCATCAGCTAATTTAAACTTATTAGAAATAATTACTTTTCATGATTCTGTGGCAAACAAGAGAAGTTACTCGAAACGTTAGCCCTCTTGAAAAAAGGACCTCTCACCATTAGTACTGATGAAAATTTTATTTAAAAAATCTTTAAAATTACACCCTCTCATGCTCCAGGAGAAGCTATGAAACCTAAAATGTATTAAAAGAGCATCTTTTAGACAGACAATATTGTTTTGATATTTTGAAAACCAAGTTTCTGCCTATCAAGAGTGTATCCGAAAATTTACAATGGGGGGAAATGTCTAATATTAAAAATTTCTGGAGAATGGTCTCAAGGGCTGACATGTTTTGATGCTAAATAATACCATAAAATCACACAAAAATGATTGGTTTTTGGTTCTGAAGGGGCAGATTTCCCCTCCTTTCAACCCTCTCTTGGCTTCTGTCCGCATACTTCCCATTTTTATTCACCCTTTATGAGTAAAATTCCATCCTGCTGCAATTTGATTTATTTTTTTTGTAAAAATCAGCCAAGAAACTATGGAATAAGTTTTCAGCTGAAAAATGTAGGCAATAATTAAAAGTTCTGAAGATTCCTAACTAACTTAAGTATAATAAAAGGACAAACCACCGTACTTTTCCCATCTTAAGCCAGCGTTAACATTAGACCGTGAGGCGCGAGACCATGCTCAGTTATACCTGTTTTAAATTTAAGTATGTTTTGATTACGAATCAAATGATTTGTTATGACCGTCATTCATTTTTATGAAATGCAGTTTTTTAAGAGGTATCGGTCATTATTGTTTTTCCGTATGGATTTTCCCATACTAGCGAGAACCTCAATTGAGGAGAGTTGGATACCGAGGAGAGCGTGAAACCGGTAGTGGCGCTGACAACAGGCCTGATTTCTTTACCCACATCCAACTCTCCTCAATTGAGGTTTTATGTTTTGATTGTTAGAACTTTAATGATGGACTTAAAACTTGGTGGATATCTTCCCAATTGAAAATTTCAAAAGTTCACAGTCTTTGTAGCTTTTTGATAAATTTTTGCTGATTTACAATGTGTACCGCTTGAGTTGCGATGATTCTTTAAATTTTCAAAGGGTTTAAGTTCAGGAGAATTATGGATCCTGAAACCACTCTCTTTTTCAAAGGTGAGAGATAAATAATATTTTTTACTGACCTCTCTGTTCATACACACCTGTCTCATTTATTTAAAAAACGTTGCTTTTAAGTGAAAGCATTTTCAATGTAAAAATCAAAGAACTTCAAACTCTAAAATTTTCTCATCAACACCAAGGAATTCTTTGGTCATTTTGTATAAAATTATACTGACTGCAATGAAGGAGGAATTGAAAATGAGCTTAGAATTATTTTTTTTCCGCTTGATTAAATGGATAACTCGTGCAATATTGTCCGAAAAGAGTGAAATTTCATGATTTATCAATTTCAATGTACTAGTTTAACTTAACGCCAGTAATGCAGACATTTAATGTGTAAACCTGCAAAATATCTCAGAAATTTGAACCATATATTTACTTTTAGAAGCAAAAACCTATCAAAGATTTCAAGAAAAAATATCTTCGAAAATGTTCAAATTTATTTCACCTGAAAAAAATCATGATGATTATTTTGGAGAATATATTTGCTGGTGTCTCACTCAAATAATACATTGTCAGAACAGTACCTTAAACAGACTAACACAGAAAAAGAGCACAACATAGAACTGCATTTAGCAGATTCGGATACTTAAGATTTGATTTATAATTATGGCAAACTTTTCAGAACGAAGTCGTAATTTTCCATGAAGACAGAACTAGGGCTTAAAAAGACGTACCCTCAATGTTTTTTTAAAAAAAAAAAAAACTGTACTGAAGAAAGACTCTCAAAATTTTGTTATTGCTGTCCACAGAACTGATTTATCATTGTTATGTTTTCTGATATTCGTGATAGGAGGAGCTTTTGACCTCTCAGTTCTTTTTTGACTGTACAGGGAACGATGCATGATAGTCAACAATTTTTATTAGTCCACGAGGTCTCCTAAGGGTTAGAAACGCCTTCCCTTAATTTTGTACATGAAAGGGTACCACCTTTTCGTTATTTTATAACTGTATTGTTGTTATATATTCTGAATAAGAATGTTATATACTTTATTTTATAAATTTTATTTTTGAGTTCTTATTTTTGCCGCCTATCTCCACCAGTAACCAAATCAACCGTTAGTGCTCTTTCGGTGAAAGTATTTTCTATTTTTGCAACATTTTCAAACTTTAACCATTGAAAAATACAGAGAGTTCTCTTGGTACATCAATGAACCAAATTACATCATCTACAAGTTCTCTTTAATTATTTCTTTTGAAAATCTAATAAGCTTCAGGCCTCAATTGAGGAACAATTCTTCTTTTTCGTGATTCCTCCTGTTAGGAACTCGCTGCCTACAAGTAGCATTTTGCCGCAATTCAAACAAATATGAACTCTTCCAATTTTGGTTAAGTGAACTAAGCCTCATTATACACCGGTATAAATTAATTTTCCGTTCTCTTAGATGCTGAGGGACCGAATTGGTTTACATGTGGGTGTGTGTGTAGGGACGAATTACTCCATTTGTTCAGGGAAACTTCATTATCATACACCCTGAGAGAAATCGTTCTGGCATGCGATAAGTACTTTACTCCTCATGTATAAATTTACACAGAGAGGATAATATGCACCTAATAAGTCAAAGGAGGAGAAAAATACAAAGAAAAAACCGGAGGGGAATAGAAGGAAATTAGTAAAAAATGAAAAAAGACAAGGAAACGAAAAGTTAAATTTGGAGATTAGTTTGTTCTAAGAAGGAAGGGATTTGGTGAAAATATTTTTATAGTGTGGTTTTGAGATCAGAAAAGAGTTTGTTCCCTCGGGGGAAAACCTAGAGGTCCATACCGCAAATCCGGCTCCTTTGGTGGGACAATAAGGTCCAGTTACACAATCAAATTGAGCCATCAATTTGGGCCTCTCATTGGTCGCATCCTCACCTCAGGTCTTTTTCCACCAATCAGGGCTTCAATTTGATGGCTCAATTTGATCGTGTAACTGGACCAAGAGATAGGCAATCCGGAATGCATTTAGTACCGAATAATTCTAGGAATATAGCGGCACCCTTGGGCGATCGGATGCTTACGGGTGCCACTCGTATACCTGATTGTAGCGGTACAAGTGAAGGTGCGTTTTCACCTCTCAGCTGTCTACCTCACCCACCTAACTGTTGTATCATTTTCTCATTCCCTTTTTCCACTTGTGGGCCCTTTCCTAATTCCATCACACTCACAGCTTCCACCACTTTTTAAAGTCCACAGCTAAAGCCAGGGCCGGATTTACCCACTTGCCGCCCATGGGCCGCCTGTATTTTGCCGCCCCCTCCTCATTCGTTTCGAAACATCAATAAAAACCATCAAGTTAACGTGCCGGAGGGGGAGGGGAGGGGTGCGTAAGACGCGTTTTACTCGTGTTCGGCACATTTTTTGCGGAGGCCCTGTCAACACTACTAGCAAAAGTTCACGGAACTTAGCGCGAAAGTTAAGTTCCGTAAACCTATCTCTGTGTGAACAAGACCTTCCATTTGTAAGAAATGAACGTAAAAATTATGCAAGAACAAACATAAATGTGGGTTAATAATTTTAACTTCTGCCGCCGCCGCGCCGCGCCGCGCTGACCGCACTGTGTTTGGCGCAATGCGTGAAGTATTCCTACAGTCTTGTAGGCGCTATGCGTTTCACGCCGACCGCCGCACAGTGGATCGAGTCAATTAGAGAGATCGGACATGAAATTTTTGACTAAAACTGCAAATGTTGACGTTTATTCCGTCACATTTTAAATTTTAAGGAGTGCTTCAGCTAGAAGAAAATTTTACGAGGAAACAATGGAACCACTTTCAGAACCTCAAAATTTTGTAAAAACGGAGTTATAAGCTTTTGAAGTTTCCAGATTTTGTCCGACCTCTCCTGTTGACTCGATCCACTGTGCGCCGCGCCGCTGAACGCACTGTGTTTGACGCAATGCGTGAAGTATTCATGCAGTCTTGTAGGTGCTAATGTGTTACATGCCGACCTCCGCACAGTAGATTGAGTCAATTCGAGAGGTCGGACATGAAATTTTTTACAAAAACTACTAGTGTTGATGTTTATTTCGTCACATTTTAAAGTTCAAGGGGTGATACTGGAAGAAAATTTCACGAGAAAACCAATGGAACCACTAGCAGAACATCAGATTCTGTATAAACGGAGTTATAAGCGTTTAAAGTTTCCAAATTTTGTCCGACCTCTCTCATTGACTCGATTCACCGTGCGCAGCGCGGAGGGCTTCTCTTTTTCATCTCAAGTCCTCATCATCATTGCTCTCTGCGCCGCGCCGCTCCGCTCCATGCCAAATTGCGTGTTCGGTTTCTCTCTTAACTCGACTAATTATTACAAGTGCTGTCTCTTGTGTCACCAAAATACGCTTCTCTCGTTTGTAATTTTTTTTCTGAATTCGATTTTTTTTATATCTACATTTTAAAAAAGTGCAAAATTTGCTGCCCCCTAAATTTGCTGCCATGGGCCGCGGCACATGTGGCCACCCCCTTAACCCTGCCCTGGCTAAAGCAGGCACTGTTGCCAGCTTCATCTCTACCGCGAACAATAGGACTTATTCGCTTCGCCGTTTGGAGCTAAAACTGGCTCCATCCACAAAAACACGCATGTGCATACGGAAACAAATGGTACGTTTGTTTTTTTTAAAACCGAGTTAAAGGTTCCCAAGTGTATCGCATTTTACTCTTTACAATTAGTACCTAGCTACTCGTACAATTTCTAGCTCAGCTTAGGAACAACGTAGGTACCATTAGTTTCCCGATGCACGTAAGAGTTTTTACTGATGAGCCATGAGTTGTAGTTTCTATTGCTAAATATGTAGTCCAATTACCAAATGAAGTCCAACATGAGTATCTTTTGCTGTGACTCTTGCGAGATTGCGTATTGTTCTGCCATCAGCCTACGGGACTCAAGCATTTCCTCAACCCGCTGTCCACATCTCTTTCCTGTCGAGGACGTGTTCAACTGGAACTGGTAGTCAATTCAAGTTTATCCGCCAACGTTGAGCACTCGACCGGAATGTTTGCCTATTTCACGAGTCGGGCGCGTTAAAGCCATGAGGGTAATTAAAATTGCTCCACTCCTCAAATAAAAGTCGTTAATCCGGTCGTTGAGTCTTGCATCTGTCGCCGCCTCGCCGTCGGTCCAAGTCGTCGTCATCCGCACATCCTCACCCGTGAAAAAAGCTCAGTCGAATCCAGTTCCACAGTTGCCACAGTTACCAATGATTTACCATGTTTGAAAAACAAAACAAAAATACTATCCGTCACCGACGCATGGTATGAAATCTTATTTCAGTAGTTGTACCTACCGCTTTATTGTGAAACTAGAAGGTCCGGGATAGGATACTGTTAACTTCAAGGAAAAATAAGGGTAGGTAAGTAGTTTAGAAAATGGGAAGAAAAAATTGGTGAATCTAAAGTATGACCAAAGAAAATGAACATATTTCTTGTTAAAAAAATTGATCCAGTTACTTGATGAAATTAATCTTCATTTCATGAGGAAATACCCGAATACCCATTTTCCATCAAGAAAATCGATCAATTTCCTACCAATAAATGGGCTCATGTTTCTTTGGGCAGACTTCTGATTATTCACAATCTTTTTTCTTTCCGTTTTCTGTATCACCCGTATTTTTCTTCGATACTCGGCTGTAGAAATTTTCTCGGTATTTTTTTTTTCCTACAAAAAGTGTCAATTTTGCCACTCGGGAGTGTAAATTTGGAACGGGAAGATTTCCGCATGCTTGACATCTCATCAGTGCAAACCACGGTTTCAGCGGATAGTGATTATGCACTTGGAGCAAACAATTCAAATCTCTTTTCGTCGGTTAGGCACTGAAAACCAGATGCGAGAGCTATAATTTGCGCTATTATACGAGTGCTTTAGTTGTTCGTTTCAGAAATTATTCCCTTTTAAAGTATCTTATTGTGAACCAAATATAATGCTGCGAGCGAGGGCGAAATTTATCCTCACTAACGAGCTCTAACACCGTGTAAAGGGTTACTCACCGGGGTTTTTAAAATATATCTCGGGTTGAAATAGTACAGAGAAGGACATATAGGTAGGTCTCATTTACTTCCCAAGTAGCAAAATAGAATTTTTTTCTAGAAAAAAAATATTAAGACAATTTCTAGAAAAAACAAAGAAAATGAGAGCTATCCAGAAAATAGAGAGAAAAAACATTGCGAGTCAAAAGTCTGACCAAAGAAAATAGATCTATTTCATAGGTCTACTTTTCTGACAACTTCCCATTTGGAAGAAAGATAGAAAATTTATTGAAAGTAGAATTATTTTGTAGCCAATTTCATAATGTTTTCTTTTAAGAAAATGCAAGGAAAAAATGTATTTTCTTTTTATTTTCTTGTGTCTATTTTCTAGATCTACTTTACACCTTATTTTCTTTCAAGAAAATTGTTCTATCTAGAAAGTAGACATTTTCTTGATGAGCGCCACCTAGAAAGTACCTAGGTGATAATGCTACTTGGGTTATTACAAGATTCAACCTGCTCTGGAATATCATCATATGACACTAGTAGGTACGTGCGACGGATCGACTGCACCGCCGGAAAATCGGCAACACTGTTTAGCCCATGCATATTCCGTTGCATCACCCATCTCCGGATTTCGTGCCTCATGTCATCACATGATTTGGCTCAATATTATGACCCAGTGCCGTTTCGTTGCAAATGTGCGTCCTTCAACCACTTCGGGAAATATTTGCGCCAAAACAAATTGGGAAACGGTGACATTATTCGGACTCAAAAAGATTAGCTTACTCCAGCTCTGCCGTTGGAAGCGAGCATTCATCGTTTCCCAGACGAAAGAGCATAACTACTCTTCAACGTTGTGAAATTTCCGTTCCCCACAATGGTTGTTAGTAGGTTATACTGTTGGACATTTCCAATTAATAATTTCGCTGACTTATGTATCGATTTCTTGCAATACAGAACGGCGAAATTTTTGGGAAAAATTGCAGTCTAGTTTGTCCACGTGAAAAATTATTTTTTTTGCATCCATTTTGCAACCTCGAACAGGAGTTATGTTCTTTCGTCGG